CTTAATAATAGGGTTTGCGTTTTTGTGGAACGTGTTCTTTTTCGTTCTATTCTATGATTACTTTTTTGCTGAGAGTAATTCTCTCTTTTGTTACATTTGTAATGGTTTCGCCTCTGTAACTTTTTTATTTTATCAATCTATATACTGATTAAAGGAATCAAAACAAATCTAGAAATCTTTGTTCTGAATAAAATTTTGACATTTGGTACTATTAACACTGTATTCAACTTCTTATACAGTCTTGCAATCAGACCTGCGAGCAAGTGCAGGTTGTATTTTGTTATATCGGAGCCCTTATTTCTAATGCAGTTTATTATTCCCTATGTAACTTTGCACGGCTGATGTAAAAATGAATGCATTATAAAGCTATCGATTCGTATTATCGATAGTTCAAACAAAACTCGAAACGATGACATGCCTTATTGCTTCTCTATTAAATACGGACAAATCTATTAGAGCCTAAACAAATCATTATATTTTCAAATATTAATTGTAAAATTCTACGTGATATTTCTTCAAATAATCGCCAGACACGACAACTCTGCTTTTCCATGTTTCATTAAACTTTTAAACAATATCATTAGATGTAACAATAATGGAATATGTTTGAATCTTTTCACCTGTCTAATAGACATGTTCTGGAACGTATATTGAAAATATTTTCATTCCAACACGCTCTCTTGCGAGAATATTAGCATTAAAACTTGTTCTACTTCCTATTTTCTATTTTAAAACATCTCTATCAATATGATAAAGAAGTTATCATCTGAACCATCACTTTTTAATCATGTGTTCACGATTCATATTTTTGAGAACTTTTATAAAGGACCTCCACATAGTAGCTTAGTTAAATTGCCTCCATAAAATCTGAATTCTTACAGGCACTTAGTACGATCTTGATTCAACAATCTACGAAAGTTTTGCATTGATAAATTCATTATCACCAGCGTTAAGTACTCAATGCTTTCTTGAAAATCATTCATAAATGTGAATAAGGATAACACTAAGTTTTCCTTTTTTATATGATTGTTCCACATCATATACAATAAAAAAAACACGGAGATTCAATTACAAAACAACAGAAAAACAAGACGGAAAGGATGACAATGAAAAGTAATGAGTATTGCTTAAATAAGTAAAATCAATATTGATCTTGCTCAATTATTACATGGCTTTAATTTTCATTTGTTTCATTTTTGGTTGTCGTCGTTTCATTTCACGTTTGTGTTCTTTTTCTTCCCATTTACGTTGTTTTTCTGGATCATCAGACTGCATAATTTTTTCTTTTTCAGCACGACGTTTTTCTTCACGTCTTAGTTGTGCTTGTTCTTGTCGTTGTTGATAGACATTTTTAAAAAATTGTTCTTCAATACGTTGACGATTTTTAACTGTTTTTGCTTTCGATTCTTTTGATGTAAAACGAAATGAACTAACACGATCAGCTAAATGCAATACAAAACGTAAATAGTCACTACCAATACTTTCAGCGGTAACTTGTAACGAACGATCATTAAATGCAATTAAGTTAAATGCAACAATTAATACACGACGAACAGAACGTTCACTTAAATTTAATGCATCTTGTTGTTGTGTTGTACTACCATTAGTTGATACAACATTAGAATTATTTGATGATGAATTAGATGATGATTGTTGACTATCATTTTGTACTTTCATTCCTGTATATTGATCACTAATATGAATATATTCAAGTGCATCGGGAAATCTACAGAAAAGCATCAATAGATATAAACTATTAACCGTAGATTTATAGTACATAACAGTACAAAGACAAAAAGAAACTGAGGAGTTCACTGAATTAAAACTAAAAAACTAATTCTTACTTGTCAATAAAATCTGCTACACGATTATCAATCATAGTAGTTGATACTTCACCAATTTCACTTAATATTTGATAATTTCCACTTAAGCGACGTTTATCAGCATTTTTTCGTTCTGAACAAAATTGACTAAGATCATTCATATCACGATGTAATTTAGCAGCTGTACGTTTTTTTGCTAAGCAAAATACAAATGTTTCCATATCATCTTTACTATAATCAATTGTATAAATAATCATATCATTAATTGATTTAATTAATGCAGCCAATGAATTAAATAAACATTGTCGTTTTATAAAACGTATTTCAATAAGCATACTTTCAATTGATACTTGACCACTACACCAAAGTATATATAAACTTTCAGATTCTTTATGCATATTATTTGATATTATGTCATTATTGATTTGTTCATCAGTTGATTCTATATTACGTGATTGACCATTATCACCAACAAGAGAAAAATTTCTTTCAAGTAAATCACGTTGTGAACTATAGAGTGTTGTTGCAAGACGAGCATTTTTTGAACGACCAATAAGAAAATTTATTAAATAAATTAATAATGCAATAATCATTATTGCTTCACAATGATATGCTTCCCAACGATTGCCTGTTAAATTAGCAGGAACTTCAGCAATTTTAAGATCTGGTGTTGAAGATGATGATGAAGATGGAGATGCAAATAAATCAGACTAAATGCAATAATATTATAATTTTCACAAAAAAACAAGAATTTTCATTTCTCGAAAATAATTTCTAAGAACAAATATGAACGATATGCAAACATTATACACAAGCAGGACAATACGAAATTTTAACAATCATTACAATTTTTTTATCCGTCTTTTCAGCAGTGTAAAGTTTGAAAATTTTTCTTCGCGTACTTTTTCTTTTAATATGCTCCACACACTTTCAATACACCATACTTCAGAAATATTAAGCGTCATCTTCTCGAAATAAAACTTGATTATTAAATAATTCAAAACACAATCTATTTCAATCTGGTTACTGAATCCACAGTTCGTGTGAACATATAAGAAGTAGATAATAATGCCGGTCGAATAAGATAAATAATTATTAATTTTTACTATGCTATTTTCATTATGTAAGTTTGTGCAGCACTTTATTAAAAATCATGTTGATTGATTATGAAAAATTTATCCTCACATTCTCATGTTATAATTACGAGTGAAGATATTATCCAATAAATATTTCATTTAAAAAACTGGCAGGAATAATCAATGCTCATATAAAAACATTCAACAAGAAGCTATTACCGAGGATATTTGTAATCATTAAACAGTATTGAAGTGCTAGGCATCATTTTGATTAGTTTCTGAAGCTTATGTTTTTTGCATTAAGTCTTAGCTGATATGTTTGTATAAACAAAGTCTATAATGAAATAGTCTAAGTATTGAATATCACTCATTCTATTTTCACAATTTAAGGTTTTTTAAAACGACAGCGAAAAAGATCACATTAACACATGTTTAAATTCATTATTGAAACTTCACCTTTTCGTTTGAACTCTCAGTAACAACAAAAAATCAAGATTACGTCATCAAAATTGACCTTTAATCTTTATCTTATAGACATTATAAATACAAAAAAGAAAGAATCTATTTGTAATATTATCTGTCTAAATTAGTCTAATATTTCTCTATTATTCATACTCAAAAACAATTCTTTACCGCTTCAAATTCTTCTTCATCAAACATAAGATCATCATCTTCATCATCGATAGTGACATCATCATTAAGTTTTTGTTCTGCTGTTCTACTTGATGATGGTTGAGATGAACCATCATTATTTGTTAGATCTGGTTGATTTGATTGTGTTTTAGATGGTAATGGACTAGCACCGGATGGAGATGGATTATCTAGAATAGATACAGATACATATAGAATTTCTTTCTAAATTAAGTTTTCTATATCATACCAACAATAAATTCATCTTCATCAAAATCATCAAATTCAGAAAAATCTTCATCTTTAATTTTCTTTGCTGCTGACCATACGAAACATAAAATAATATTGAATAAAACAAAAAATACAGTAACAGATGAACGCATATTGCTGCAATATCTGTTTTTTTTTATTGTTGTAAAAATAATGTATTATAAACAACACGCTAAGTTTTTCATTCATTTTGTTTTTTATTTCTATTGGTATATGGAATTGATCCAATAGAATTTTAAAAAGAAAAAAAACTTTTCTAAAATATTGATTAAAGTTTAGTAATAAATAAAACTTTAGTTTAATTTTATATGATAGAGTTTTTTCTAAGTTTTTGGTTAAATAAAATAGATAGATGGAAGCATACAATGGAAATCAATGACCAATGAGAAATCACAACGTTTTTTTGTCTTCATTTAATCACAACAACGGACACTCATTTTCTTCTTTCTCTAACCAGTTCAATCGACCTTTTCGATAAACAAAAAGGAAAAAGAATTGAATATTTTTAATTCTATTGCAGATATTAACATCAATATAATATATTTACACCATGATTTATAACAATAGTTAACGTATTTGTTTATATTTACTTTCTTTCCTCAGGTAATTTTATTTTCTATAACATGATTGGAATACTAATCATCATACGAGATGTTGTAAAAAAAAGGAGTGGTTCTTTTTTCATATATATGTTTATGTTGATCTGTATAACTATGTAAAGGAAGATTACTGTTTTCTTCCAGAAGTTTATTGATGACTTCTAGGTTCGTGGTTTTTATTTAATTCTTTTTTTGTACATGACTGAAAGCGACAGGTACTAAGCTATTAAAAGAACTGCGATATAGTAGATGACAGTTCTCTTTTTTTTTCTCTCTCTCTCTCTCTCGTATGTATGTCATATTCATTTCTATATACGGAAACAGAGATAATCTATGTCATTTAGTTTGTTTTGAGGTGAAGATGTCGCAACATTTGCTTGCTCGATAAATGCGTCGATTTATCATAAGATTTCCCATCAACAATTGCCTTCATACTGTGCTAGCAGATAGTGCGGAGGAGCGTAGAAAGAGAAAAAAAGAGAATATGAAGGCATAGTGGAACTGATAACTGCATGTTTATTTCAGGTTGTTGTTGTTATTGTCGTCATTTTACAGACTCTATCTCGACATAAAATAGCACGTTAATATCATTTATACTATTCATGGCTCGAGTTGTTCGTAATAGCAAATTTCGGTAAATTGACTTTGTATTTTGTTTGTCTTGGAATTTCAATAAAAGAAATATTGTTTTTTTTTCATTTCAAGTCATGTCTTTGGTCAAGCAGCTAAAAAACAAGATTGTTATGAAAATATTCGTATAACAAAAAGTGCATGGGATTCAACGTTTTGTTCAGTTAATCCTAAATTTCTTGCTATTATAACTGAATCAGCTGGTGGTGGTGCATTTCTTGTTGTACCATTAGATAAAATCGGACGTATTGATCGTGATGTACCATTAGTTACAGGACATAAAGCAGCCGTACTTGATATAGCTTGGTGTCCACATAATGATAATGTTATTGCGAGTGGTTCAGAAGATTGTACAGTTAAGATTTGGCAAATACCTGATGGTGGTTTAACATCAAATAATTTAACACAACCAGCTGTCGATCTTGTTGCACATCAACGACGTGTTGGGCAAGTGGTTTGGCATCCAAGTGCACTTAATATTTTACTTAGTGCTGGTAAAAATTCTTGTTTTTGTTTTTGTTTAGAATTTAGAAAAAAACGAAAATCTATTTTCTAGGTGGTGACATGAAAATTTATATATGGAATGTTGGTAAATCAATGATTTTAACAACAATTGATTGTCATCCAGAAGTTATTTTAAGTGTTTCATGGAATCATAATGGTTCACGTATTGTTACATCGTGTAAAGATAAAGTATTTCGTATTATTAATCCACATACTGGTCATGTTATTAAGGTTAAAATAATAAAACAAAAAAAAAAAGAAATCAAAACCAATAGTTTGTTATTGTTTTTTTAGTCCGGAATGGGCCATCAAGGAGCTAAACCTGCAAGAGCTATTTATTTACGTGATGGTCGTATATTTTCTACCGGATTTTCGAGAATGTCAGAAAGACAATATGCTCTTTGGGATGAGGTTTTATAGACAATAAAATTACTTAAAAAAACTTAGTGATTCGTTTTATTTATTTTTTTTTGAAAAGGATCATTTGGGTAATGCTTTAACAATGGAAGAACTTGATTCATCGAATGGTATTCTATTTCCGTTTTATGATGAAGATACTAGTTTAATCTTTCTATGTGGAAAAGTAAAAAAAAAAATTATATTATAGAAAAAACAAAAAAGAACTTTATATAGGGTGATTCAACTATTCGATATTTTGAATATACACCAGAAGCACCTTATATACATTATATTAATACATATTCATCATCGGATCCTCAACGTGGTATGGGTGTTATGCCGAAACGTGGAATGAATATTGCAACATGTGAAATAGCTCGGTATATATATATTACATATAGATGTACAACTTCTTTTTTCTATGAAAACTTTTAGGTTTTATAAATTGCTCAATAGTGGTCTTTGTGAAGTCATTACTTTCACTGTACCACGAAAAGTATGTTTTTTTTTATTGCAGGCCTTGAAAGATAGTTTGTATCGTTTTTTTTTGTTTTTGTTTAGTCTGAACTTTTTCAAGAAGATCTTTATCCTGATACAGCAGCTGAAGAACATGCTATAACAGCTGATGAATGGATTGAGGGTAAAGATGCTAATCCTCGTTTAGTAAGTTAAATTTAAAGAAATGTGTTATATGAATATATAGATATTTTAATGTTCAATTAGGTATCTATTCGTGATCTTCATTCGGGTACAAAATCTCAATCAAGTGCAAGTGGTGGCGGATTAAGTCTTGGTCATGGAACACAACAAAAACAAGAAATTGTTTTTGGTAAATCAACAAGTCAAAAACCTTCACCAACATCACCACATAGTGTAACACAGCAAACAAATGCTAATAATGGTGGTGCTACTGTTCAACAGGGACAGGTATATATAGAGTTGTTTCGTTTATTTACTATGAATATTTTTAGAATGAATTAAAATCTTTTTTCTTTTGTTTTGTATTTTTATTTTCATAATCATAAGACTTTGATTTTTAGCATGTCGATAATGAATTTCTTGATAAACTTGTCGAAGAAATGCGTCGAGTGAAAATAATTGTTAAAGGACATGAACGACGTATTAAAACGTTAGAAGAACGTTTATCACAATATGAAGCACCAGCTGACGATCTTGATGATTAATATTTTATAATCCAAATAACAAATATGTTCTTTCTTTTTTTCTTCTTTATCTCTTTTTTTCTTTTCGCTACTCTCATTTATTTATTTTTCAATTTATTTAACTACGTGCATACACACACACATACAAAATATATACATGCATCTTTAATATTACCTTTCAAATTCAGTAAGATAATTATTGTTTTGCTTGTTTCTATTTGTGGTTTTAGTTGTTTTTGTTTGCATGTATGCATGTTTATATTGTGTTCTTGAGAGATTTTAGGAATTCATTTTTTGACTTCCCTTGGCTAACTCTTTTTCTTTTAACTTATTATAGCCCCCTTGAAACACATATCACTTTCTACTAATATCTTATCTTAACATATATATATATATACATATTACAAAATAATTTATTGGAATTAATATTGTTTTTCTTGTCTTTTAATTTAGAGCGATATGAAATTTACTCGTTCAAAATTTTCCCCATCGTCAACCGAAACCCAGCAAAAATCAAATAATAAACAATATGATAGTATCCTTTACAAATTAGATTTAATAAATCGTCGTTTGAATGATTTTGATCGTCGTATGGATGATTTTAATTATCGCTTAAAACTTCTTGAAAAATCATCTATTAATAAACAACAACGTCGAGATTTAATGTACGAACAAACAAATAAAAGAATTACTCATTTTAACGATGATCCTAGATTTTGATTTCTTTAAAAATTTCATGTGTTTTATGCATGTATTCATTTTTTTTCTTTTGGATTTTTGCTTCTTCTTTTTTTTCGTCTTTGTTTTTTTTCTTTTGCTATTCTGGTCCAATGTCGAATATTTGTCTATTGAGCATTTAACATTTGTGAAAAAACAAATGATCCCCTTGTACCTCTGCGTTCTTTATTTGCTCTGAGCTACACCCGGTGCTGTTATACGTGCTCGCAATCACACATTTTACTGTCTTCCGTGTTTCTTTTTTTTCCTTCGTCGCGTTTTTCTTTTCTTATCTTCTATATTAGGATTACCATTGTACACATTGAGAATCAAACATGAAAACAAAAGCATTTTTCAAACGAACGTTTCTTTCTTATGTGTTTAAACAAAGTATTTGACAACATCAAAAGCAATGAATTCTTTAAAAAAATATTTTAGATGAAAATTAATTCTATCACTTATTTATTGATTTTATTCTTATTGATATGCATAGCAGGTTTTATAGCAGCTGGGTTTGTAATTGAAAATGTTATTGTTTTGAAATAAGATGACTATTGGAGCTTTTTTTGTTTTGATAGACGTGATTTTTATAAAATATTAAATTTGCCAAGAACAGCAACGTTAAATCAAATAAAAAAATCTTATCGAAAATTAGCAAAAGAATTGCATCCGGATAAGAATAGAAATGACCCAAAAGCACAAGAACGTTTTCAAGATTTAGGGGCTGCTTATGAGGTAAAAATTGTTGTATGTTTGAAAGTAATTTATTTGACTCTTGTTTTTTACTTAGGCTTTATCTGATCCTGATAAACGTAAAATTTATGATAAACATGGTGAAGACGGTTTAAAACGACAAGGTGGTGACGATTCATTTCATGATCCATTTTCAAGGTAAATTTTGTTTACAAAGATAAATAATAAAGATAATAATAAGTTCTTTTTTTTTGTCTGTAGTTTTTTTGGTGATTTTTTTCACTTTGGTGGTTCGAGAGATGATGGACATAATCAAGTGCCACGTGGTGGAGATTTAGTTGTGGATTTATATGTGACACTTGAAGAAGTTTATAATGGAAATTTTATTGAAGTACGAATTTGAAAATTTTAATTTTTTGCCTTTCTAAAGTTAATCATTTAGGTTGTTCGAGCTAAACCAGTAGCAAAACAAACGGCTGGTTCACGAAGGTGTAATTGTCGAATGGAAATGCGAACAACACAAATGGGTCCTGGACGGGTAAGATTTAATAAAAAAAATTCTTGGAAAACGTCTATGATAAAAGTACTTTATGTACACTTAATCGAGATATGTCATATGTATGATATAAAGAAGGTTATGTAGTAGAAGAAGAAAAGAATTTATTTTCATAGTCAGATGTCAGAATAAGAATATATCTTTGATGAATTTATGCATGCATTACATATATATGTGTAGTGTTCTTATATTAGCTATTAGATAGATATCGAATGGTTTATTTTATCTCTACAGAAGAAGAAGAATTAAATGTTTATGGAAAATTTTCTTTTAGTTTCAAATGATGCAAGAACAAGTATGCGATGAATGTCCGAATATAAAGTAAAGAAAAATTTGATTGAAACAAATGAATTTAAGAATTTATTAATCTGTTTTTTTTCTTAAAGATTTGTTACAGAAGAAATGGTATTAGAAATTGAAGTAGAACCAGGTGTAGCTGATGGATATCAAATACCATTTGTTGCTGAAGGTTGGTTTTCTAATAAAACTAGTTGTTTTTATTGAATTACGAAAAAAAAAATTCTTTTCATATTAATTTAGGAGAACCTCATATTGAAGGTGAACCAGGTGATTTGAAATTTATTATTCGTATTCAAAAGTAAATATGAATATCTTATTTGTTTCGTAACTAAAACATTTTGTTTTGTTTTAATTTTAATAGACATTCAAGATTCGAACGTAAAAATAATGATTTATATACAAATTTAACAATAACGCTACAAGATGCACTTAATGGTTTTGATGTATCATTTCCTCATCTTGATGGACATAATGTAAGAAACTATAGCTAACATCTTATCGAATGAGGGCATATGTAACGAACCCAAACATTCTGGTTCGATCATGACTGAGGTCAATTTCAGTTAATTATTAAAAGGAAGCAGACGTAACCCACCAGAAAGTATTAAAGGCTTGATAACGGTAGATCTATACATAATGGAATAAATGATTCAAAGATCGAACGTCTGCAGGCATTCTAGAACAGCTGTTAGCACAATCCTTGCAGGATTACAATGTGAAACATGATATAGTTGTGGTTGATAATCACAGGAAGTTTATTTTATTCTATCTATTTTGGGATACTTTTCACTATTGTTTCATTTGATTCTCTGAAAAATCAATAAGAAAGTAGTTTATATTATATCGAGACGTTATTGATATACGATCTGTGATGGAGAAAAGACGTTGCCAAGGACTACTTCAACACTCCTTTTAGATCATGTTTCTCAAAAGTTTAATAATACTTAGAAATACTCTAACTCTCAACTGAACCTTAGCATGATTTCCGATTATCCATATACCTAAGGAAACGCATCGGCAAATATCCGACAGTGTCTGAACTGGTTGAAGAGTTTTCGAATGAGCGCTCGTTCATCCTGTACGTCGAGCTAGAGTTCGGATTCCATGCATGTCTATCTAGAATTGTGAAATAATTGTTCGCTATTTTTTAGGTAACAATTAAACGTGAAATGATAACTTGGCCTGGTGCTCGAATAAAGAAGAAAGGTGAAGGTCTACCACAACATGATCAAAATAATATTGTTGGTGATCTATATGTTACAATTGATGTTGATTTTCCTAAAAGTGAATTCAATGATGAACAACGAGAAGGTAATATTTTGAAAAATTTTTCTTATTATTATACGAAAAAATCTTTTTCTTTTTAGTTGTTAAAACGTTATTACATCAAGAATCGAAACATCAATTATACAATGGCTTATAGTCTATTGATTGATTTATATTTGTTGTAATCTTGTTTAGGCTAATATTTGTTTTCTCTCTTTTGGTTATTTGTTTGTTTCTATTGTGATGGTTTATTGATGGATAACTTATTGTGTGCTTGCTTTATTTATTTTCTTGGTTGAATTGACATTTCAGAATAAGATAAAATCTGGTGAATTTACGTGATCTTTCTCGTTTTGTTTCTATTCTGGTCTGATAATCAAGTAGTTCTGTTCTAAAATACTTCTTTATTCACTTGTTGTATAGCTAGTTTTAAGAGAAATATTATCACTTATATTATATATATGCTTTTTTTATGATATGAAGTCGATGTTTGACAATTAATCAAGAGAAAAAATACTGAAAATGATTTCTTCTTTTAATTTTAGTGTGCTAGTGTTTGCTTTTTGTTTAAGTAATTGAATGAAGTTTCAACAGCAAAATAAAGCTTACTTTTTAAAGAGAATTTCTTTTGTTATAAAAATGCATTGAAATAATCTATTTAAATCATACAATATTTACATTCGTTTGTATTTTCGATTATAGGACAATTGATATATTATCTATCGAATTTGTTCGAAACGGTTAGCTTGGTCAAGAAAATAGACATAAGGGCGGGTCTGGGTGAAAAGAAAACAGATATTCACACCTACACTGAATTTTAGTGACGTTTTGAAGTCATTTTCGTTTGATTATTAAAACTTAATCACAAATTCTACTCAAATTTAGATTTCGGAAATCTCTTTATAAAACTTTTAAAAAGAGATTCGCTATGTGTCTCAGTAACTTAACTTATTTCAATCTAACTATTATCGAGAGACGCAGATGTCAGAGCGCATTTGAATCACACATACCCCATACGAAGGAAAATTTCCAACCCGTGTATTAACTAAGAAGTGAAATATCGATATATTCGAAATCAGAGTGTTTCAAAGAAATAATAGTGTTTGCCAGTATTGGTGAATAAGTTGTTAGCCAAGCAATATCTAGACCGAGAGTGACTATGTTCATAGACAGCATTGACTACGAACGTATTTGGAATAGCGAAAATGTGCTTCGAGAATTCTTCTGACCGATCTGTTCGTGTTTACTATGGGAACCACGCTCCTGTGAATTGTGCCAAAATTTGTTCTGCGAAGCCCACATTTCGAAGTGGTTCCAGGTAAATAAGAGCTGCTCATATGGATTTGAGCAGTATAGGGATAAACGTTGTCCACAACAGAGTCGGTGTCGTTTGTTCAACATCTGGATTCGATGTCAAAGTGTCTAATACGGCTGTGATGCTGTACTTTCTTATAACACATTAGAAGCGCATCAAATAAACCAATGTGCATATTTCCCTACTCGATGAAAGTATTATGAGAGCCTTATGCTGGTGAGTGCAATTGAAGTTCATGAGCAACAATGCAGCCAAAAACTTGGGAGCTGTTCCATATGCAATCATTTCAGTCCATTGGATTTGCTGTAACAGCATCAATCGTCTTGTGTTCTAGTGAACTCGCAACACTATTTGCAAACTATCAGTCAATTGCAGAACTTAACACAGCCTGTCTACACATTTCAACCTAACACTCCAATACAGCAGATTGGAATTCCACTGGAAAGCCTTTTCGCTTTTACTTGTGAGGAGCAAAATACTTGGAAGCAGTATCGTAATTTAGTTTGATGGCATCGCTTATTATCTCTAGTGTGTCTTCTGCTCACAAATTTGTTCGATGCTTCGTACATTCTCCTTACTGTGTGGAATACAGGCTGGGGTTGTATATTAGGCTGTCTGACTGTAATGGTTTTCATCGTCTTTGCTTATTCTTGTCAGAATATATGGACCGGCTTTCTCTTCATTATTCTTTTTACTAGAGTTTTATACTTCGGTGCACCATGGTTTCTTAACTTGGTCGATGATACCTCCATTATGATATTTTTCATAATTCTCTTTCTAATAGTTGACTTTTCACTTATTTACATCAATACTCATCTACTGAACAAGACAAACAAACTAGGATATATCCTGTTAGAGTACATCGAAACCATTTTTCTGTGGACACGCTCCTTGCTACTTTTCCGTTTTTATTTTCGTTGGATTCCTGTTTACGTGACTGCAACCTTCGTCTCTGGCGTAAGCATTTTCTTCGCTTTAATCATACGATACGTTTCCTCTCATCGACCACCAGTTTGAACATGATCATAGACACAGTGCAAAAAGCTTTCTTTGTATTTCTGATTTACATACTAATATCAATACTTATCTAATCAAAATAAAAAATATGAGATCGACTGGATTGCTTACCGAGCGAGATCCGACCAATACTAAACAGTCTTTCAACATACCTTTCACTACTTAGTTTGATAGAATAAGTTTAGACTAATATCAGACATACTTTATTCTGAGTCAAAAAGTCGATATCAGATTGAGACACAACAACACTCAATTGAGAGTTCAATGAAAGTAACTATGTTATTCATTGTTTTCACTGATTCCTCGGCATCGAAGATATGTTAGACTTGAAGTTTTCATCTTAACAATGAAGACTATCTGAGTTCAGATATCGTTAGATACTTTTCACTCAAAATTAAAAATCGAACCATATCAGAAGTCACGTATCACTCATTCCATTTCACTCCATATATATTCTTCTAAACGTTTTTCCAGAAAACATATGGAATCATAGGTACTCTGTCGAGGAAAGAGCTCCGATTTCCATCATTCGTATATTATTCTTTTGACTCGGTGTCATCGCAGATCCTCATGTAGTTATCGACAAAAACCCGAAGAACGTTGCAGAGATCTTCGGTTAAATCGAGCAGAAATACATTAGAAAACTACGTTCGATCAATGGCTAGTTCATAATTCTAGAAACTAAAAATTCTGTTGAAAATGTAGCAAGTTTGTCTCGTTGTGCTGGTGGAACACTTCTGGTCGTCATTTTGATTCACTTTCAAGAAAGCAAAATAATAAAAAAGCTACATTTTGCTCACCATTTCCACAGGCGGAATCGTTTGTCTGTCAGCATCACTAAGATATATTCTTTCAGTCTGAATCGAAACTTCTTATTGTAGATGATCAAAGTCTCAGTTGTTTGTTCGAGGTGTAATAGAGCAAGCGGAGTTAAGCAGCGAATTGGAGTAGTTCTTCGTTGAAATCGAATCATCCGCCTTCTGCTACGCGGCTAGATGTTCTACCATTAGACTAGAACAGGCATATAATCCCCATTTAGCTATCGAGATGATTCACTTCGAAACTAGCATCAATAGTTAAACTTATAAATATTTAGAAGAACAAAGATGTACTTCAGAAGTCATCAGGGACACTGCAAACAGTGTACAAATCTACAAGACACTCAAAAAGATTGGTGCTTCTGGTTATCGATGAGTGTGCAGGTATTAATGTGAGTTGTGGTGGGTGTCTGCATATAGCCAAGGAGGAAAACGGCATACTTGAAGTAGAAAAGTACGTAAGAGTACAAAAGTTACTTCAAGTAACTTCAAGTTGAATAAAGTACATCGAAGTAGCATCAAGTACATCTAAAGTAGGGAGAAGCACTTCCAAATACATATAAAGTATTATAAGATCGCTTGAAGTGTCTTTAAAAGTATCAATAAGTAATCCCAAGTACTTTCAAAGTTTCATCAAGTAATTTCAAGTATCAGTAAAGTATGATGAAGTGAATTCAAGTACGTCAACGTAGTTGAAGTATCCCACGAAGAACGGCAAAGTCACTAAAAGAAACGAATCTAATGTGGCCAAATATCAACGATTACTTTTTGGCTTTGTTAAACAACGAAAAACTCTCAGTAAAAGAGAAATATACCGAAAAGCATTCTATATGTATCAATTTGTATTAATTATCTGCTGCATAATGGAAGATAAAAGAATTACTCGGCACTTTTAGTTTTTATCCTACAACAAATATCACACCGGTTGGCTTCAAAATACTTGATTTTCCTATCTATTTGGTCTCGAGATACGATATTCTCAACATCATGTTAACATTTTCAACTATTTTTATTATATCGAAGTCGTCAGATTTGGTTCAACTTAAGTGTGTTGTATAGGGAAGAGATAAGAATCTTGCCGTGCATCGTTTCAAAAAATACTGGTTCCTCGATTTCTTATGAGAATTTCACGAAAAGCCCTAAAAGTGATCATATTAAGAAAGGAAGCTCTATTGCAGTCATATCTCAAAAACGGCTCGACCAATTCACCTGAAATTTCTCAAACACATATACTTGAGTCCTATTCACTATAAAATTTTCGTTTCAAAACATTGAACGCTTGGGACTTTTTGAAATACCTAGTATATGGAAAAAAGAACATTTCTTGCAAGTTTGGTACTTGATAGCTGTTCATTGGAATTATTTAGGGGTGTAAACCTTTCAGTATCAATAGAGCCTCGAAAGTTGTGTCCTCCCTGAAAATTTCAGTTATCTTTGCTGCTTTATTTTAGTCAGGAGAATCTTCTCAAAAATGGGTTCTTCATGAAAATGATTGTTTTTAGGATCAGCTATCTCATAAACCATTTTCTGTACAAAAAAAAACATAAAAAAAGAAAAACAATTCATTATCAACAATAGTATTTTATTATTATTATTATTATGCTTTTATTTCATAGACAAGTGTGTGGTGCGTCCTCACGCTTCAATGTCATGAACGAACATCGTCCCTTTGACAAGAAAGGAAAAAAAAAACCACATAAATTACACATTAGCTTTAGTTGTAACTGACAGTTTAAAAAGTTGAAATTGCATTTAACATTGAATTTTCGACAAGTAGAAGGAAAAGAAAAGGAAATGACGTACAATCGAGTAGAAAACAAAGGAACACGACATAGAGTGGATTTGAGATTTCATTTAGTACAGATCAGAAGCATAGTGACTTATATCAAATAACAACAAATCGAGGGATGCGTTTACAATAACCTTAATACAATTAGAAGCAGAAAGTACAATCAAATAAAGAGGTTTTTGGCTCTTTGAATAAATTAGTAATCTTCTTACTCGTTCTTCCTTTGTTGACTATTGTTCGTTTTTCTTTCAGCAAGTTTGGATTATTATAATATTCCTGTATATATAACAGGTACATTTTATGTTGAAGAAAGTCGCCGATCACCGAAGCATTTGTTCGGAGAATCGTGCCGATGAGCTTTGACCAGTGAATCTGGGTTAGCTCGTCAATTGTTTTATACTTACTTAAGTTGGAAATTTCGATATTAGTTGCATCATACCAGCCGTGTATTGATCTAAAAACCTGTCTATTTAGTGCCTCTAGTTTATTTTGTTTAGATATAGGCAATATTGCGTATATATTTAAGAGTGACTGGTAGTGAGGTCTAATGTAAGCATTGTAAAGCCGATAGGCTATGTCTTCGCTAAGCATGCGACTGGAAGCTAGACGTTTAAATATAGCCAGATTTTTTCGTATTTTTGATTCTACATAATCTATATGCGAAGAGAACGAAAGCTTACAATCCAATATTGTCCCAAGATATTTAGTTTTTGTGGCGTGGACGATCGTATAGCCATTACAAACAACTCGTGGAATTATAGGTGCAACTTGGCGATGGAATAGCATCCATTGCGTTTTTTCAAAGTTGATGGGTTGTTTCCACATTGTTGTATAAGATATTAACGAAGTAACAACAAGTTTCAGTCTCTCTGTGAGATTGGGTATGAGATATTTTGTCGACCACGTAGCAGATGGAGATATTATAACAGATAAATCGTCAGCAAATAGGTGCTTCCAGTGCAATAGAGACATACAATTCAATAAATCATGATGATACACAATAAAAATTACCGGACCAACACATGAACCTTGTGGTACACCTTTATATAAGTTAAAGGTACTAGATGTAGCCTCTTTTAATTCAATGTATGCTGAACGTCCCGATAGATAACTCCTTAACCAGGCTAATAAGTATGTTGGGCAATCAAGTTTACGTAGTTTAAGCCATAGTCCTTGGTACCACAATTGGTTGAATGCAGCTTTGAAGTCAACAAATAAAGCTGCTGCTGCCGTATTTAACGCCAAACATTGACCTATTTGATCTATAATTGAGACCAGACGGACTGTCATATTGTGGCCAGGTCTAAAACCTGTTTGTTCATCGGGAAGAATACCCGCGTCGTTTACCCATTTTCGAAATTGCACGAGAAAAATTTTTTCATATAATTTAGAAAAGCATGGAAGAAGCGAAATCGGACGTGTATCATTAACTTTTACAATATTTGATTTGGTTTTAGGAAGTAAGATCATTTTCGCGATTTTCCAATGAGATGGAAAACTCAGTTGTGATGCAAAGAATTTGAAAGAGGTCCATATGATTGAATAATGAGACGGTGGTAGTAACTTGATTATCTTATTTGAAACACCGTCTACGCCAGTTGAGTTTTTGTTCTTTAGGGACGCAATTGTTCTTGCAATATCCTTTATTTCCATCGGAAAAGCTGTTGGTATATTGTTGTTCAGGTGAATTCTCAATTGACTGTCTACATTTTCCGCTTCTATTTCAATCATAGATGAAGTGTTTTTATGTTCTGAGAACTGTTCTTGATAGAACGACTTAGCAACATCACACATTTCACTTGGTGATGAGACTATATTGCCATCTGACAGCATAAATCCTTGGATTGTTGAGGAAGTCGCCGAAAAGTGTCTTTGTGATTTTTTCCAAAACTGTTTTACATCACCTTTGTTAAACGTTTTACAATACTCAACCCAAGTTAATCTCCTATAGGCGAACAATTCTCTCTTTATTGTGGTCGAATATAATTTTAGTTGCGTTATGAAGACCGGATGTTTTGTTTTTCTTGCCAGACGTAAACACTCTCTCTTTTGTTGAATCAATTCAACGATGTGCGGTGGAAGTGCTGGTCGATAAGAGTTGCAATAGGTTACGTAAGTGAGTCTTGCTGTAACTAATGACAGAAATCTTTCATAAGTATAAAAAAATTGTACGCTATCTTTCATCGTTATTGATAGGTTCTTCCAATATGAAAAGGTGAACGTTAAGAACATTTCAAATACTCGCCAGTACGTACGTTTTACCGGATATTGGCAATCTTTTTTAATCAGTTTAATATCGGGTATCCAGATGATCGGAAAATGATCGCTACCCATTGAAGGCATGACAGAAAAGGAAGTTTTTGTGCCAGTCGTATGTGCAGGCGTTATAATTAGATCAATTGTTGCGTTTGATCGAGTTGATGTTGCAACGTATTTATTAACAACTATCAATGAATTATTTAATAACCAGTCGAAAAGAACATGACCTTTGTGATTTTCATTCGACCTGGACCATGATTGGTGTTTTGCGTTGAGATCGCCAAGGAGAATAGTATTTTTGTTTCGTCTCATAATTTGATTGAAAAGAGCAATCGGTAAATTTTCATTTGGAGGTGAATAGCATGTTGCAAGTTGGAATTTGTCATGGGAGGTGCCTATGTCTAGAACTATAACATTCGGAACTTTCTGGAATACTTCGACTCGTTGAACCGGAATGGAGCGGTGTACCGCTATTAATACACCACCGAATATGTTCGTTCCCTCTTGTGAGTAAATATTATAATTGTTAAAATGTTTTGAGAAACTTCTGACAGCCGCATCTGTATGATGCGTTCCATTAAAAACAACAATAGGACAAGAAACGTTGTCTAATAGAAGGAAAATGTCCGGCAAGTACAATGATAAACTGCTCACATTTAGTAACATTATCTTTAGTTCACTTTTCACCTGCATCATGTCCTTTGTTTTTTTACTTCTTTTTTCCCATTTCGATAATAAGGTGTCTAGGGTTGGTGTAGTTGTCCATTCTGCCATAATTTCATTAAGTATATTTTGTTGTTTTTGCGATAAGTGATTTGTCGGTATATGATACGAATCTGTACGATGCGGAATAAATTCTTTAGCATGTGGATTCATCGTACGTTGTCATACGTATGTCGTTAGATGTTACTGTCATTTGTGGATTAGGTGTTGTTGTACGTTGTTGTTGTAACGTCTTCGTATTATGTTGTATGTGAAGTCCTGCGTAACTTGAATCTTTTTGTTCCAGGAAACTGACCAACCTGTTATAAATTGGATTTATTTGTTGCTTTTGCTGCGTATTAATCTGTGTGTAAATTATATTTGTTACATCTTTCAACAATGGGCATACAATATCATTTAAAATGCAGTTAATATTTAGAATGTCCATTGCTTGGTTGTTGATTTTTGTATTTGTATCATTAAATAGTTGGCTGAGGTCTGCTTGTTGCTTTAAAATCGTTTGTATGTTGTTCTCTATTGAATCCAATTTTTTCATTAAATCAGCATTAATATTGTTCTGAACCTTATTCAGTATTAATGATTTCGTTGTTGATGCATTTCCAAATAGATGGTGAGCTGCATCTCCTGCCCATACGTTTGAGTTAGGAGTTTGTGTTGTTCGTATTTGTCCTATTGTTGTCATTTGAATTTTTTTATTTTCGCGTGTTGCAATTTTTTGTGGACAATTCGGATTACCCGCCATGTGATTGCCTTTACAATGTGCACAACAAATCGCATTTTGACAATCTGGGTTAAAATTATGCTGTTGTCCACATTTAAAGCATATTGGTTTGTCCTTATTAGGACATCGCGCAGCAATGTGGTCATCATATTGTTGACAGTTATAACATCTTAGAATTCTAGTCGGTGAAACGTACGGTTCAATCGTATAAGCTGTATTATCATCATCAAGTAGTATGCGTTTGTTCTGTATTATTTCTGTTAATTCTTTATTTGATGAAAAGTCAATACGAATTCTCGGTATAGGTCGACCCCCTTTTACAAACATACGTTCACATTTAATGATTGTTTTGTATCTTAATTTGAGCTCCTCACAAAAATCTTGAACGTTCCATTGCGTTGGAATGTTCAACACCACCACCGAATATGAAGATGGAAATCTTCGAGGCATATCAATTGAATACATACAATTGCAAATGGTTTCTGGCCAGTTCGATTTGTCCAAAAGTGTCTCGAACTGCGTTGCTGTATTACAATAGAGTAGGTAGTGTTTATCGTTGTTCGAGGTTGACATTCGACCGTATGTTAAGTTTAACTTACATTTTTTATTTAAATCCTTGATAATGGTGACATCTTGAACTGGATAATTGCCATCTTTCAGCTTTATTCTAAAGGGTGGAAATGATTCATGCGCTCGTTGTTGTTGTTGTTTTCTATTTGATGATTCATGTGTATGATGTTGATTTGGTACTTCGTTTGTTTGTTTACGAAATACTCGATTGTTGTTAAAATAAGATGAAGCTGTAGTTGTTTCTCCTTGACATCCGTGCGGACTACTTGAGCTATTGTCTATCTGTTCAGTATTTCGACGCTTGGGTGTAAACGGAGCCTGTGATGTAACTTCATCATCACCGTGATCATTTCTCCTTTTGCGAGTGTGACGATATGGATATCTAAAATCATTTTCATTACCTTCTTTATTTGTTGTATTTTCTGCTTCTGGATGCATCGACTGATTTGAATTGCTTTGATTGTGATAATTAATATCATTTTGTGTCAAGTTGTTTCCCGTTTTACCCATAGGGTTTCTTGTGGGAAAACAACGAATAAAGCTTGAATACGTAGAAGAACAGAGAAGAACGAATATAGAAAGTACGTCTTATCTGTACCGATGAAGCGTGAGGAATGACAATAGTATTTTTTGTTCATGTAGATAGTATAAAATCTATCAAATTGAATTTCGTCAAGTTTTTAATAATAAGATTATTCGGAATTAATTTAAGATAATCGTAAAAAGTTTGGGTACAGCATGTTTGTTTAACCATGGTGTACCTATAAATTATTATAGAGAATGAAATATAGTTAAAAGAAAAAGCAATAGAGGTTTTTTGTTTTCTAGATCTCTTTTCGAATTATCTTTTTATAGTTATCGTTCTTTCATCTTATATTCTTTTGTTTCACATGAATATGTTCAGATACACTTATTCTCATATTATGTGCTCAGTTAATCAAAGAGAAGAAAAAAATGTTGCCATCTTGCAGGTGTTGATGACATTTGAGTTATTTTTCCAAAAAAAAACTCTCCAAATAATATTAATGTAGGAATTGCTTGTGAAAGAGTGGAATAGTCTCACGAAAGCTTTACACCATAATTATGTAGAACACTTTAATTTTCGAACAATTATTTGAAGTTTGTATCAAGTCTGGAAAAATGTACAGCTGGAGTCTACTGTCAATTTGAATTTTTTTTACGATCCGAAAAAACATAATTTCTTTTCTTTTGAATTAGCATCAATAAAACGTACCAGTCCAAACACTAGAAACTTATTGCTTCTCTTCTTTTCATGTAGCACCTCGAATGTTGTTATATCAACGGAACATATTGAATATAAAAGCATCTCGTGTCTAATCCAAATTACATGTACGTATACATGAGATATGATATTTTTCAAAAAAAATATGGGTGTACGTGTGGGTATTACGGTTCTCTTCACTCACGTCACACCCGCATCCACACACCACACCCACACTCTCACGTAATATTAAAAGATTTTCAAAAAAATCCGCGGAGACTTTTGCATCAATCCGATAGCTAACATATGTGGTAAATTCATAAAAATTCCAGTATCTCTCTCAATGCACGCCAAGCAACATAATATTTAAAATTTGTTAGTTTCGCGGTGAGAACTTTATTTGAACCCGAATATGTATAGTTGATTTAACTGACAATACAAACACTTCCATTATCAGTATACTAATAAGAAAAAACAATTGAATCCTACAAATTACGTAGAAATGATTTCCGAAATAAAACGTTACATATTCATTCTATCGTAAACATCAGTATTCATTGCATACTACTTCTCATTCGTAGACGTTTGAATCGCTTCTCACCGGATATCACAGTCGAGTGATACTCAATTGTCACTTATTTATTGTCGTATTCGTTGTTGCAGTATAGTATCAATGAAAATTATTTCGTTTCATCACCTATTTTCTTTTATTGAAACAATTTATAACAAAGGAAAATAATGATGAAAATTTTCTGGATGAACAAATGATTGATGTACATCAAGACTATTAACTGTCCCAAAATTGAAATGTATTGCATCACTAGTAAAATTGTTTGTTATCTTTGTGAGTGATTTGTATTCCACGGAAAGATTTGACAAACGAGGGAGATTAGTATTTTTTCTCACTAGAAATAGTTCAGCATAGTCCATATGTGCACCTTTGAGATCGAGAAATGTGAGAAAAAGAAATTTGATTAATGTAGATGAACGTTGCTTGTCTTTCATTGGATAATCATTTGGTATGGATAAAAATTCGAGATAACGAAAGTCATGAGAAATGAGTTGAAATAATTTATATTTGATCGGAATTCTATCAGCCATCGTCAATCGTCGAACTTTATCAAACATTCCACCTTGAAAAGAATTTTCGAGATCAAAATAATATTCAAAATCATATGGAAGTGAACAGATACGACATTCGCCGTCCCATGCATTATCTTCAGTAGAAATACATGAAGCTACTTGTTGATAATCTCTTCCAATGAAACTACGTTGAATATCTTGATTCGATGGAAGTTCAACTCTAACGTTCCTGCACCGCACGTTTGTCTTGATATTAAATGTAAATTTCTTTAATTGTGTCATATAAATGAGAAATTGATCATATAATTGAATACCGTCGATATAAGTCGCATCAGTCCTGACAACTACTAGATACAGTTGTAATTCTTCAAGATTGATCATTCGACAAAGTAATGGAACAATTAAACTGTCATAAGCATATGTTCGACCAAACGTAGACAATGAAAAGCATTTCAATTTCGGAAGTTTTTTCTATAAAAAAATTTGTTTAGTTTACTGTTTTATTGTGTAAGCATTTTCATTGAAATTATACGTACTCTTCCACCTATATTTCCTATTTGATCAAAAATAGATAACACATTAATAATTAATGTTGATAAACATTCGAAACGTCCATCAAGTAGATAAAGACAATCCGCAAAATTGACAACATTAATTTTTAATTTCATTAATGTTGAAGACATATTAATTTGACTTCCAATATAAAAGACAGGAGTTTTACACTTTCGTCTGGCAGACATATCACCAAAATTCAGAACAATTAATTTTTTGCATAAAAATAAGATTGATGCAAAAATATTTGCAACAGTTTTTGAACAAATATCTCTTGTTTTTTTTATATCAATATTAAGATGCGTTATTTGTTTGCTAAGAAAATCACGAAGAACCAAATTATCTTTAATGAAAATCAAACAAAATATTCACTTTCATTTAACTAGATTTGATTATTTTAATAACTGAAAAGGAATAAAATAAAATATTATACCTGTTAACTCTTGATAAAGTATTTCTTCTTGAAAATTTATAAGTGATAATGAATAAAGTTGAGGATAATTAGCAGTAAGAATTTGTTTCATTGAATCTTGTTCAATAGTAAGTTTATGAACTTGATGATCAATTCGAGGTAAGATTTTTTCACAAATTTCAGAAAGAACTTCAATATCTATTGAAGAGCTTTGGTCATACACTGAATTGACGTTCATGATAGTAGTCATATCAAGATGACGAATATAAAGAGAATCAAGTACTAATCGATGAAATCGTCGATTAACATCCACAAGTGAATAAAAAACATCAACCATTTTAAGTTTGTTGAGAATGATGAATAAAATTTCATCAGATAAATCAAGTATATTCAAATTATTGTTGTTTGAATCGTTCATGTTTAGCTCATATAATGTTTTCATGTCAATCGATATAAATACATTTGTATTTCGTTATTATCGTCCATAAGAACAATGAAGGATAGATATTGATGTCGTCATGTTGTTCCATATAATGAAGGTAACAAAGAAAGAGAGACTAATTGAAAATAAACTAACCAATAGAATAAGCATTGCTTGATAGAAAGAAAGGTCAATTATCATCTTTTTTTATTCACTTTGGCCCCAAACATACACCAAATAAGTTAAAATTGAACTAACCAATGACATTGCTGGAAACGTTGAAACAGAGTTAATTCATCTTTTTCAGATGACTTAAATCTTAATGCGCCGATCATACAATAGCTTGATTGAACAATGAGATATATATGAATAATTGAAGGTATAGAAATGATGTTGCTCGAAGAAGTTGCTTATTATGAAATAATGCACTAAATTTCTTAAAATACTTTACAGATTATGAGTTTCTAAAAGCGTCGCTGAACAAATAAAGTATAACAATTTTTTTTACTACTCGAACGTATTTAGTTTTTACTCTTTTTCACTACATTGTGGAGGATATTCTCAATTTTGATTAGTGGATTAGCTGTTAGGTGTGAACAGTCATTGACTTAAAACGAAATTAATTTTGTTGAACTTTTGGTGTGTTTGGAGTCTTTGAATTAGTTGAGTCTGTTTGACCCTGAATAGATGATGTTATCTTTCTTTCTGTCTAATATTTTCTGTTATGATTTCTTAGTGATCTATGCGTCAATTTCTTCACTAATCAATATTCTTGAATGTATTCTTTCCAGATTCTTGTTTTTCTTGAACGCCAGGCAAGATTCTTTTGTCATTCCTTCTATACAAGATTATTGTCTGAAAAAAAATATCTTGAACTTTCTGACAAGAATCGTGTAGACCGAATCTTGCCCGATGAGGCAAAAATTGTCTCGCTAGACAAGATACTTGTATTCTTGAATTCAGGCTGATTCATTTTTTATTGCTTTACTTACCTTCTCTTTTTTCTTATTTTTCTTGCCTGAGTCTTTTTTCTTGCTTTTTCTTTCCTGACTTTTTTTTGTGAATCTGACATATTAGAAAAAAAATCGTACATTGTAAAACGGATTTACATAAAAATAGTGAAATACAAATAATAAAAATGTTTTATTTACATTAGAAATATATCTCTATTTTAATAATTCGCCTTCTTCATGTTATCACCTGGAACTGATGATGATCGACACATCCCTAAGTCGTTGTTTCCTGAAAACTCTAAAATCATCCATAATTTAACTCATTAAAATGTATTCACAAATACATCTTTACTTTTAAATATTTTCACTTACCTGATGCTGGTGTGCAGCTCTTTCGTTATTTGAAAATAATATCTTTTTTCATTTAAGTGAACACAATAACTATTACCTATCGTTGTTTAGAAATGAATAAATAGTGTACAGAGGTTGATATATATATAGACACATGTGCACAAAGACATCATACGATGTGTCTTGAAGATCAGGCAAGAATATTTTTCTTTCCTGCCAAAAGAATCTTGTCTGAACTTTAAGAAAATTTAATTATGTGGTAATTCTTTCCAGATTCTTATTTTCTTGATCGATCAGTCAAGATTCTTTGCATCTTAAGCTTCAGGCAAGAATCTTTTCTCCTTTCCTGTCAATAGAATCTTGTCTGAACTACAAGAAATTCGAAATATCTTGTCACTCTTTCGAGATTCTTGTTTTTCTTGATAGTCAGACAAGATTCTTTTTATCTTGAACTTCAGGCAAGAATCTTTTTTTCTTTTATGTCAATAGAATCTTGTCTGACCTTCAAGATCAAAAAGAAGCTGGCCTGATCAATCAAGAAACACAAGAATCTGGACAGAATAGATCCAAGAACGTCGACGAGTGTTATTCTCTTGTTTAATATCAACTGCTCCGTTTGATGATGCAACAATATATCAAACGGAATATACACCAAAAAAAAATTAAACCATGTGCAGCTGCACTTGTTGAGTCAATTTCTCTCTCTTTTCGTTCATGATTTTTTCATATTGTAAATCCAGAAAATTAAGTAGTAGTTTTGTACTTCATCGTATTGAATCAAATACTGATAAATTTTCTTAACCACAGCATTAAGTTTATTAAAGACAATATTAACAACTACCTGTTACAGTTTGATGTAAAAACTTGTTGTCATGAACATAAATCATATTGTTAGGTATGAATATCTCTTTCTTCCTATCTGTTGAAAACATTACTTCAATAGTTCTATTAAAAAATTTTCAAGAGAAGAAAAGAAATATTTTTTTTTGTTTTTATTCAAGTTAAGAAATGGGTTTATCGGGATTTGAAAAATGTTCATCTTCTCCTTCTTATTGTTCTCTGCCAATTGATCGATCATTAGCAACACGTTTAACTGAATTATCAAATTCTCCATCAAAATCTTCTTCACGTTTTGTTCATAAACATGAATGGGCTAATGGTCCTGATACATAGTCACCATCTCAAACATTTACTGGTAAAATTGATTTATCTCGTCGTAATTTCGATTTTCATAATATTGGATCAAGATCCATTTTTTTATTCTATCTGAAGAAAATAAAATAAAACTTTTTTTTTATTTGTTGAATAAAAGGGGAATGTGTATCTCGAATGTCAGAGAAAAAAAGAGAAATGAATTTATTTAACTGGAAACAGCACGGTAATGACCATCATATGTTGCTGAATAAATATGACCTTCACCAGAAAGAAATTCCAATGCTTGTCTAAATGAAATATATTTATTCCTTAAAAATAAAAATACGAAAAAAAAGTCAAACTTACTTGAGTTGATTTTCACTAAATTGTTCAGATATATCTGTTACACTATAACCTGTCATTGATGTTGCAGCTTTCAAAAAATGAAGAACAGCATTTTGAACTGGTGTAAAATCTTTCGATGTTGTTGATGTTTGTTGATTACGAAGACCAGCACCATCATCATGGTTATTATTTGTTGTCATAGCTGTTCCAGTCTAATCCAAGAAATTTTTTTTTTCATTGTTTCAAAATTCATTGTGTAAACTTACAATTTCGCCTTGTTTTGGAATATTCATACTGCCATGTACGCTTTGAATCAGATGTGCATTTGGATTTATTTCAGCTAAAATAACACTTTCATTACGATTGAACAAAATTATCTATCTTACCTGTATTATTGTTTTTCACATATTCTAGTAAAATATTTATTATTTTAATTTCAACAGCTGCTTATGGATAATATTGTTTTGAAAAAGTTGTTGCTCTTTCTTCATAAGCATCAGGTGCTGCAGCTACGATTTGATTATGAAAATTAAAACGTGCTTTAGCTTCTTCAAGCATTTTCTCTAAATTCATGTCCTAAAAAAACGATTTATAAATTTTGAAAAAGTATGAATTATCTTACAGTTAATTCTGTAGAGGATAGACCCTCGAGAAACGATTCAATCGACATTTGTATCTAAATAATAAAAAAAAAAATTATTTATACTGTGTTACAGGCAATAGTTTCCACATCTTTTCTTTCTTTTCTTTTCCCTCGATATGATATCATTTCTTTATCTTCGCGTAGTATCATACCAATTTATCCCTCGAAGACGAATACGTCTGTCTGGATCGAACAGAGATGGATGAAGAGACAGACAAACAGAAAGAGAGAAAGGCAGCAAGCACGGTTTTAATACAACGAGGTATGATAACACCATCTTCAGAAACTCGTTTACCTAAGTGACAAAGAAGATCATTCGGAAAAAAATCTTTATCAGTTGATTTTGTTGAAGATATGATTGATAATGAACCATTTTTATCACCGGATTGGCGAAAAATTGATTCCAATACATCACCTTTTTGTTTCGATCTTTCCAAAAAATAATTCTCTAAAAATATATCAAAATAATTTAAAAAAGAAAAATATATTGAATTCGCTTCCACTATTTATCTCGGTAAAAGTGAAGAATCTATTTGATCTGTCAATGTATCGAGTATATATTTTGGAATTGACATAAGACGATCACGCCGCATACCTGTTATCATTTTAATCGATGCTTCATCAGGTGGATGATCTGGTTCACAATGAGAACAATTTTCTCAATGGTGATAAAACATTTGACATAATGCATGATAATTATAATAATACGTGAATAGAATAACAGGATTTGTTGATGTTAAAGTTGGGAAAGATGGTGAAGAAAAAAACATTAGATTTATTGGTGGTGTTTGAATTGGAAAAGTTTCATCGTCAAGGTTTTCAACTTAATAAAACAAATTCATTAAACAGAAAAACAAAAAAAGATAAATCTGTAATTCATTTTCTGAAGTCGTCAATGATGCAAATGTCTGTTATTTCTTCATTTGTTTTAACATCTTTTCTACTAAAATAGTAAGAAACAATTCTTTGATCGGAAAATAAAATCAATTACAGAAATACATCTTGATGTTGTTTAATCTGAATCTGATTCTTTTTCATCTCCAAATGTCATATCAGCTAGTTGAACTGATGCAGTTTGATTGCGGTGATGGACTTTTTCCATCTGGTTGCATTTTAATAACAATCGGAGCTTTGATTGATCGACTTGATAGATGAGAATTTGTTCAAACTATTGTTGAATTGTATTCTTCAATTTCATTTGAATCTGTAAGATTTATTGTTGCTGTTGTATCAAAATCTTGATCGAATATTTGTTGAGATATTGACAAATAAGAATAAAATGATTGGTTTTGTCGTTCTTGCCAATGTTTAATATGATGATCATCAGATGAAAGATCTACTTTCGTAGCGTCATTTTATGAATATGTAGGATTTAAAAGTATTATTTTTATAGGATCTCCAATAAATATATAGGACATATATAGGACACTGATTTTGGCTAAGATTCCAATATTTACACTAAAAGCCTCTTAGACAGTTAATGAATTCTGTAACAGAACTGCAGATTTGATCCCTTACCTGCATATTATCTGATATACTAGTTAAAAAATATCTTTGAATTATGGAAATAATGAAACATAGTTTTCTCCGAAGAAATACAAATATTTTGTTCGATTAATTTTCTAATTATTTCACATATGCATATTCATATAATTCTTAATAAAAAGCCATTTGACTAAATATCAGAGAAAAACCGTTTTTCCGATTTACGTAATACAAGCTGTAGTATTTTACGCGCTTGAACTAGTGAACCGCGGAGTCAAATTTTTTGACTCCGAAAAATTTTAATTCCGCAGCTCCGACTCCGACTCCGAAAAATTCCGAAAATTCTTTTTGCGCAGTTTAACGGCATCTAATCATTGTAGTACTTTGGATTATGACGAGATGAAAAAGTAAATGAACCAGTAAAAAATGAATAAAGTATATACTAATGTACAATTCATTTTTTGTCTGATAATCCTTCAGAAATCGTAGAAATAATGACTAAAAAAATTTTAAACAAAAAAAGAACTTGAAAAATTAATAGAAGATGGTGATAAATCAGTGGAATTCGTCATGAAGAAAAAACACCAAATTCAAGTGAATTATGGGAATTTTATCATCGTATTCTTGTGAATGATCATCAAGAACAATTTGCATTCTGTAACACATGTAAAACTGTACTCGTTTTTACATCAGCAGCTGACATCAATAACTTACGATCTCGTCTCAAATTATGTACACAAAGACAAGATAAATCAACTTTTGCTCATGAATGAGCAGGACATGATTTCTATTCATCTTCAAAATCCTTGACTATTTTACTAATATAACTTCGACATTCACTCCGAAAAAAATTCTCTTCAATCATTCCGATTTCGACTCCGAAAAGTATTCTTTTCACAACTTCAGGTCCGACTACAACTCCATCGAAGTCGGGTTTTGGAGTCTAATGCAGTTCAGTATCTCTCAGACACTTCAATTTGTTTTACTTTCATTATCTGATGTAATCACCTTTTTAACCTATTGAATTAACTTATTTTTTGGATGTGCATGATTATCAAGGGGGAAACAGCGGAATTGAAGTTGAAAACTACATAAAAGTATAAAAGTTACTTCATGTTGATTAAAGTATTTCGAAGTAGTATCAAGTCCATTTAAAGTACGGAGAAGTAAGTAGTTTCAAGTACATATAAAGTACCATAAAGTCGTTCGAAGTATCTTCAAAAGTATCAAGAAGTAATCCCAAGTACTTTCAAAGTTCCATGAAGTAACTTCAAATACAAAAGTCCGCCGTCTCCCCCTTGCATATACCTCTTCTTTTCACCTACACCGAGATCCAAACACAGCTCCATACTCACACCTACATTCCACAAATGCACCCAAAAATAACTAAATCATGATACATATATATCGATCATACTTCAACCAATATCATAATAATAAACTTTCGATCAGACTTGTTTCGCTATGATATGAGCCTGGTAACAATAGTGCTTATTTAATGAATGTTTTTTGAATAACTTGTGATAGAAACAGAATAGAGAACTTCGATTTTTCTTCTTCGAAAAAGGAGATAAAGACGCATCGATTCATATATCATAGACTTTTTTAAACGCTTTCAAACAACCTATTTGAAAACAAGAATACCTCTGAAGTGCTTACAGTGAATTATTAATGGTCAAATGTGTTTTGAGACCGCTGATGGAAAGTCTACAAAACTGCACAATGTTCAGAGGCGTCGAATTAGTCATTCAGAACTAATAGGTAACCTAGTGGAAGTTTTGAATGATTTTTCTAGCAATTTCTATTAAAGAAGTTTTTGCCGCTGCGGTTTTGATTAGGAGCCATTGTTCCCATACTTAGAAAACTGATTAAACAGACATCAAACCATACACTAGGAAAACGTATAATACGTGTTTCGATGCATTTTGTCTCCTCTTTCGAATGAAAAAAACCGCTGTTCTCTATCCTGTTTCTATCAAAAGTTATTCAAAAAACATCCACTAAATAGGCACTAGTGCTACCAGATTCATATCATAGCGAAACAAATCTGATCAAATAGCATAGAAAAATAGAGAATTCTTTTCTCTATCAGGCTACATAGAAAGCAAGTTTCTTAAAGCTTTTTATATGGTATTAAAGTATCACGGCCACTATTTTTGTTAGGTCCTAAGTATATATGTATCAATGAAGGAACCCTAATGTACTAGATGTTGACTATTTTCTGACACGGAAAAGAATTTGATCCTATCATTAACTAAGTTCATCAAATTATGTATCTCTATGAGACAAAATTTTTGTGGCTGTATACAATGATTTAATAGTAAACTTAAAGTCACATCGTAAAATAAGCCGATGCATAATTATGATAAAATTATTACTGTGAAAAAGAAATAATAAAGGTTTTTTAAAAAGATTGGATAATCTAGTGAATGATATATAAAACGTTAGGTTGTTGGCAATTTGTATCTAATGAAGACTGTATAACCTTATCTTCGGATAGATGCAAATGTTGTGGAATAAAATAAATCGATAGATCACTGATAATAAATCCAGCGTTAATCTTGTAAGAACATTTTATATATTGGAATGAACCCCAAGTAATAAAAGGTAACACTATCTTATATTGTATTTGAAAATAAACAAGTGTATATTTCAACTTCAAAGCTGTTAAATAGGAGTAGATTGTCCACAAGTGAGATCTTGAAAAATCCTTTTATACTATAAATAAATAAGAATATATGAATCTGAAAGAAAGTCAAATTTAACAAAAATAATCAAACTATTATTCTTATAAGAGGAATCCTTCAATTGATTAATCAATTTTGATTCGAGACTATATACATCATGTAAACCCATAATGAGCTATGGTTACCCTTCAAAGAGTTCAGGTTTTTAGCTTATTGCTGCCGAAATACTGCACTTTTATTATATGCCCCTTAAAATAATATCGTGATCTCTCTGAAGAACAGTAGAAAAAATGGTTTTTGCATTCCGATTCGAAACTTTTCATAGAATCATGTTTCTGTAAAAGTTTCAGGTATTTTCGTTGTTCATAACGAATTGAAATATTTTTACTTCAATTTGTTCGTATGAGCTGATTTTTTCATTGTTAGTAGAAGCTTGTTTAAATTTTTTTTTATACGAATAATGGAAACAAATACTACTATCAAGTGATATTATTATTTTATCTAAATTCAAGTCAGAAACATACATTTGAAGCGTTTTATACATAATTTTCAGTTGCCATCGAAGAAAATAATAAGAAATCAAAACAAACTATATTGATACACACAAGACAAAGTTTGAAAGCTAAGTAGTAGTTACTTTAAATGCTAAAATTCGTACCCCATAAGTAAAACACATTATTCAAGTTCATTGAGCACCAACTTCCTTGCAAAATGTGCATCAATATAATTTCATTCGTAAAGTTTGTTTTAGTTTCTTCTTCTTATTCTGATACATAACTGAGAATTATCTATGAAATACTGAACATTTATTTTTCTTACTTGATAGTGATATTTGTTTACATCATCTGTAGGACAAACAAGCATTGAATAAACTTCGACCGCTAACCAAAAAGTCAACCCATTTGGTTTGAACAACGCGAAGATATTTCATTTCTTTTATCTCAAGGCTATTTGTGGTTTATTCTGTATATTGCTGATTCGATGTTCGTATTTTTAGGATAGAAACAACGAAAAAATCTGAAACTTTCATAATAGACTATTTTTATAAAGACCTAGTTCTGTTTAAAGTTTCAAATCCAAATCCAAATTCGAAAATCATTTTCCTAGTGTCTGTTAGGCAAATCACGGCATTATTTCCAAAAAAACATTACTGTAAAAACCCAACGTCTTAGAAACAATTACCTACAATTCTAAACTCGCTGCAAGGTATTCATTAGAGATGCATCAATTTCTAAGACATGATATTTTTTTTTCTTTCGAAAGAAATGTTAACCATGATAAGTTCTTGTTGCTCTATCCTAAGCTGTAGTCGATATTCCTACGATTCAAAATAAACGTTTCGAAATTGGTCGAAAATTCGAATTTTCTAGTTTTTTGTTTTTGGCCAATTTCAACTGATTTTAAGACCTATCTGCATGAGACAAAACCTAAGAACAGCTTCGGAAAGAGCGTTAAAAATTGATCACAACCAACACTAAGAGAACAGCTAGAAGTTCAGTAAAAAACAGATATCAAAATCAGTTGGAATCGGTCAAAAACAAGAACTTAAACATGAGAATTTTCTACCAACTCCAATTTTTTTTTGTATTTCGGAAATTTCGACTACGGTTGCGGATAGAACAAAAAATAGTTATTATAGTTGATATACACAATCGACAGAAACTATATTCTTATTAAAGAAAAAAAAAATGTCATTTTTGACATCATATTCTACGAATTGATGCATTCCTAGTATTCATAGCTCATTAAAATCTATGTGATGCATATTGTCTCGACTCAAATGTGATGGACCAGCTGGCAAACTTCCTTTTTTTTTAATAGAGTGTTAAAGACTTTAAGCAACTAATGTCATAGAACTAATTAGAAGAATTTTATTGGTAGTCTTCATACATTTTTTTGCCTCAATCTGTCTACGATAATAGCTAGTTGTCGATTATAAAAGCTTTCGGCAAAGCAATCCCACTCAAATTCTTATAATATTCTCAGGAAAATATTCTTTTTTCTTCTGCGCATAGTCTAGTTTGATCTATGTCACTAGAATAAATAAATACTATTACTATGTTTAATTTATTGTCCCTAACGATAAATTTGTGAAAAGATGATAATGTTTCGTTAATGTCTTTCCGGAAATAGTATTTTTCTTTTTTGATATATTTCTATTATAGATATTTCATATGCATATATATAACATGAAACTAATGTAAATGAAATCAATGATTTTTCTTAAATGAAAAGCCCACTTGACAGTTTGTCTTATGTGAAATAGAGCGACAGACGTGACATGAGTTTATTATAGAATGAAGAAAAGCAAATGTAATAGAAAAAAGTTGATAGAAGGTCGATACACATTAAATTTATTAAGAACAAGAAAAAGAAAAACATATATATATATATATATATTTATTTATTTATTTAAATAATTGTTGAGGAAATGATCAAAATGATGATGTATGGAAATTTAATGTATTTCAATTAAATATATATATGAATTAGGGAAAAAATATCGTGTTCTTAATTATCACAATTAAGGATAAATGAAATCGTTTTCAACCAAACGAAATGATTGTTTAGTTATCAGAAAAATTTATTAATAAGTTAATAAGCTAACATATATAATTTTATTATAGCAAAACATACAATCACCTTATATGATGTTTATGATTATAAAAATCTATATCTACGATAGAAAAGAACACCCACACCCTAATTATTATTAGTAGTTGAACAATGATATTTCATGCTGATAATTGTTAAAATCAATTGATTTTACTATTTCTAATAAAAAATTAGTTTTACTTTTACAATAATTTTTTGTATATAATGCAAATCATTTCGATATGAATAATTTGCAATTTTTCATTAACAACTATCGAATTGTTTTCAGAAAAAATACTATTCATTCGTGATATATACTTGAAAATGAATATTAGTTGTCTCAAGAGAACAGAATTATATAACTAGAAATAATAAAAAATTCTCTCTCTTTCCATTAACCAATGAAGATTATTTCTGCACATTTTTACTAAAAATGTTCATTCTTGTTTTTAACGATCTCTTTAATAAAAATATCCCAATGTTATTAATGTATTCAAAATGAAATAGAAAATTTTTTACTATTCATTTCATTCTTTTATTTCTGGGCACATTATTTACATCAGTTTTACTTCTCTTTGTTAGATATAACAATACTTAATATAATATATACAAGTTTACATTCGTACAAATAAAAATTTATAATTAATCGGATATTAAAACTTTAGTTATTTATTTCTTGATAGAAAATTAAGAAAAGTTTATTTCAAATGTTCAAAATACTATTGTTTTAAGCATTTCACATTGTCATGTTTTTAAAATGTTGATAGACGATGGAAGAATTTCAAAAAGAATCTCACTTTTTTTTCACAATAGTTAACTAAAGAAAATAGAAACAAATAATCCTTAATAGATTATAAATCTAATTCATGTTTATCAAAATATTATAATCTCTATTTAGTTATAATTAAATCTCAATAAACATAAAAGCTAAAATCAGATTATTAGACTCTAAGAAAACCTGATCAATTATCTTATATAGTTGAAAGCTTTTATAATAAAATAAATTGAATGTTATCTATTTCTAATTTAGCAAAACTTCTAGTAGAATAATAATTTTAAGATATAAAATCTTCTGTCTAATGTTAGACATAGCATCTATTTATTCTAACATTATCAATTAGCTTTAATAATTAGTTTTTTTTTCTTTATTATGATAATATATTGATAAGTAACATATATTTATTTATTTTTTGATGTTTTGCATTGCAAATAGTTGATTTTCTACTTTAAACAGTTTTTTTTATATTCTCGAAAAGAAAAATTTAAGCGAACAGACATAAAGAACAAGAGCATAATAGATTAACATTGTCTATTATTGTGGTTGATCTAAACCCATTAAATGTTGAATATAAGTTTCCCAAGTTGTTTCTCGTAAATTTATTTGTTTACAAATATGCGCATATTTTTCACGCGTTTCAATAACATATTTGACAGCTAATTCACCATTATCGATATATGCTTGCATGATTGGATCATCTTTTGACGAAAGCTAATCGAAAAAGAAGAAAATTGGAATTATTAAATGCAAAAGAAACGGCAACGAATAAATCTTAAAAATTCTACTTACGTCGTCTAATTCTGATCGTGCTTTAGATACAAATTGTTGAATAGCATCAAGGTCAACAGGAAAATCTGTTTTTTGACTATGATATAAGAAATAGAAAAGAATAGAAGCCGTTGATATAAGTCGACAAATTTCATCTGAAACTAAATATTTAAAAATACAAAAAAAAATAATTTAAACGAAAAAGAAAACAATCTCAACAGGCACATACTTGTTGAGTCTAAACCTTTTGACTTTAAATCATGTTTTATTTGTTCAAAATTAACATTAAATAATTCTCCTAATTGAGCTGTTGGTGAGAAAGATCCATCCTATATAAGCAAAGAAAACAAAAGGAAATAACAAAATCTAAATTGATAATCTTATAATTATAATTTACATTATTTTGCTGTTGAAAAATCCCATTTATAAGTGAATAAGTTAATGGAGTTTCAATAATTGATCTTAATGGAGCATCTTAATAATTACATGACAAAGTAAAATAAATATTATTATATTTAATAAGAAAAAATAAAATATATACTTACCATTTATTTCTTTTGTAATAGAATCATTTGCCTTTTCCTAATAATAATAAATCATAATGATAAGTATGAATATAACTTTCATGTAACAAAGAAAAAAACATATTACTTACTGCTTCACTACTTGCCATAGTGTCGGTTCACGGGAGTGACTAGCTTGTAGCAGATCGGCTGATGATGACGACAGTGAAATGAGACGTATCGTGCGAATTGGGGCTTTGCTTTTTTTCTCTCGTCCTTCGTTTCTTTTTTTTCTTTTGCTTTGCTCGAGACTCCTTCTCTTTGCTCATTCATATTTTCTCCTTCTTTTTCTCGCTTAGCTGATGAATAACAACCGACAATGTTAGAGTCTTAGCCTCCGTCTTCATCATCAACAGCAAAAAAAAGGAAATATTTCTAGTGATCCATTCTTATCTATTCTCTACATATACTCTTCACGTTGTACGCATTGACTGAGTAACTCGAGTTTTGTCAAAGCTAAGAAAGACGCGCGGGAATTCTTAATTGATGAGCAGTTTCTTTTTTTTTTGTAATATAACTGCCTGTCTGTTTTCCCCTTTTCATTTTTCATCATGTTCAAGTAGATTGCTTGTTATTGTTCTTACACTTGAGAAGCAATGTCCTACTTTGACAAATATCTAAGTCAATTATAGAGAATAATCATATGTAATGTGTAATGGAAAAGCTGACTTATTGAATGAATTTTATGTTTTTTTTTGTTTTTTTTGTTTATACGAAAAAAACGAAAAAGAAAAAAAGACGGATATCAAGAGGGAACAAGTGAAACTGTGCGGAACCAGCAAAAAAAGCACACACACGCACATACACACTGTTATTAAGAAAAAGAAACCAACATCAAAAATACAAGAACAATGTTTGTCTGATCGCTCTTCGATTTTCAAACACATCTATACATATAAAGGATTGTTCGTGAATAATTTACTTTTACATTTCTATGTATATATGTGTTTTCCTTCGTACCCAACAAATATATAGTAACAACATATATAAAAAAAAACGAAACAAAGAAAACAGTAGGTGTTTATATAAATATACTTTTATGTAAATCCTTTTCATTGATAGATCTTCCACTGAAAACCTGAATATATAAATGATGCAAAAAAAAAGAAAAACGAAAGAGAAAATTACCAGCACAATTCGAAAACAAAAGTTGACATAGACAAAAGAGAAAAACATAATAGTCCCAAGTATAATATGCTTGTCTATACGTATATATATATATATAAATGTGTGTGTGTGTATGTTTGTGACCCAGAAAAAAAAAGAAGACAAGTGTATTGTTGTGTAGAATAGTAAATAGTTTTAAAACAAAAAAACAAAAAAAAAGAAAAGAAAAGAGCAGAGTAAAATGAACAAACAAAAATAGCATACATGCGTACAACAACGATGACAAACATAAAAACAAAAGAAAAGAAATTTATGTAATATATAATAATCAATGGATCCACCCTTTGGTGACATTTATTTTGAGGTCATCATTGTAACGAATTCTTCATAATTAACTTGACCATCTAAAACAAAATAATTCAATAAAAGAAAAAATTTCTTTTTTTTTTTCTTTTAATAATCATACCTCCATCAATATCTGCTTCACGAATCATCTCATCAACCTCTTCATCCGTCAATTTTTCACCCAAATTTGTCATCACATGACTTTACAAAAAAATTAAAATACATACAAAAAAACCGATAATTAGATTTAAAATTATAACTAACCGAAGTTCAGCTGCTGATATAAATCCATTTCCATCTTTGTCAAATACACGGAATGCTTCACGAATTTCTTCTTCACTATCAGTATCTTTCATTTTTCGAGCCATCATGGTTAAAAATTCAGGAAAATCAATTGTACCATTACCTAGACAAATTATTTTTATTTTCAAATAGAAAAATTCAATTCTTACCATCGGCATCTACTTCATTGATCATATCTTGTAATTCAGCCTCCGTTGGATTTTGTCCTAAACTACGCATAACCGTACCTAAACGAGAAAAAAACATTCAGATATTTAATTAATAAAAAATTCGTTATTTGTTTTCTCATTAAACAAACCCAATTCTTTAGTTGTAATTGTTCCATCTCCATCTTTATCAAAAAGTGAAAATGCTTCTTTAAATTCAGCAATTTGTTCTTCAGTTAATTGATCGGCCATTTCAATTCAATCTTTCGAATGAATAATATAGACTCCTACACACAATAAATATCTATAAAAGAATAAAAAGAAAAAGATAATACAAGACAAAAAAGAAACGACAATAATAACAACAAGATACACTTGACAACATTAACTAAAACAAAACAATAAGAAAAAAAAGTAAATGATAAAGATGTCGCTTATGATATTTAACTACGAAAATATATTTAAATTATCAATGAAAATACATCATATTGTGAAATAAATTTATATTTATTTGTTTCATTTTAAAAATAATAAACAAGAACCATAATACACGTCTAAATAACCTCTATGAACCAATCATTTGCTAATATATAAATGATTCTTCTTTTTTCAGCTGGAAGAGAACGAACTAAACAAGAGAAAAAAAAAAAGAACGAGAAAATGAGTATTATTTCAGTGGTGAGAGAAATGGTTGCTTGCTTAGTTAGTGGATGTGTAGGTGTTGCAAGTGCTCGTTGCTCTACCACACAAGAAGAAACAAAGGAACATAAACAATTATTTATTTTCTATTTTTTCAGATCGCCGAGAATTAAGTATCATCTAGCGGCGATAAGACGCCAATATTTGGGAGTGTGAGTGAGAGTGAGGTTACGGTTTTTTGAAAATCTCTAAAAAGTACACGTGATTTCTGTTTCTAATCAATTTATTCAACACTCTCAATGGCAGAAGGTGGATATAATATTCAACCGCGCAATAATTATCCGGATCGAATGCAACAATCACAACAAAGTTGTTTTTTTTTGTTCTTTAAGAAAACAATATGTTTTTTTGTTTTTGTTCTATTGAAAAGAATGATTTATCTTTTAGGCGCGTCAGCCGGTGAAGAAGAATTAGCAACTAAAACACTTCATATTCAATCGAAACGTTTCTATTTGGATGTTAAACAAAATCGACGTGGTCGATTTATAAAAATTGCTGAAGTAAAAGAAAAGAAATAAATCATGAATTTTTCTTGGAAAATATTTATTTTTAAGGTTAGTGCTGGCGGTCGGAAAAGTCGTATATTAATGTCAATGAGTGTTGCAAGTGAATTACGTGATCATTTAGATACATTTAATGAACATATTCGTACATTAGGTAATAGAAAATAACGAAAATTTTTCGAAACGATTTGTAATAAATCATTTTATATTTTAGGTGAACAGAATCTAAATAATCCACAATTAACAGAAGATGGTCGACTTCGTTCAGCACTTATAACACGTGATGATCGAAAGTATTATCTTGATTTAAAAGAAAATGAACGTGGCAGATTTCTACGGGTATGTGAAATTTTTGGTGTGATTTTTTCATTTGTTTTTTGTATTTTTATTTAAAATATATAGATTTCTATGGTTGGAATTAATACTCAACGTACACAAATTGCATTACCTGCACAAGGTGTAGAAGAACTACGAGATACATTAAATAGTTTACTTGAAGAATTCGGAAATGAAGATGATAAAGGTAAAAAATTATGAAAGGGGTGACATCTATACCGAGAAGTTTATTTTTGGTCTACTTATTTTTGAGAATCGTTGTTTATGAGAACAAATTTCGAATGATAAAATAATTAAACAACAATTTCAATTTATAGAAATTCATTTATTGGATATTGAATATATCCATATACGACTAAGTAGTAGATATTTATTTTATACATTAAACATTTAAAGAGAAAAAAAGTGATTTCATCAGACAGTTTCTAAAAAAAAATATATTTCATAGATAAAGATGGGGCTAACAGTATCTAGTCTTTTTTTAGCTCATTTTATTAATAAAATTTTTTATTATTTTAGATAGTATTGAGTCACTACCAGCAATAGGTAAGTGAAATAAACAAATTATTTAATAGTCTTATTACTCATTATATGATTATGTACAAAACATAGAGGCAAACCAATTTTATTTTTTGAGATACAATTTATATTGAAGGATTTATTTATTCAATGAAAAAAAAACACGAAGACGTCCAATGGAAAGATATTTTAATTTAGTCAAATTAATTTAGCTCTATTAACTTTAATCATCCATTAAAAAACAAAGTAAACTAAATTAGTCTGATAAGAAATAAAACCAAAAAAAAAACAGTATCACAATCTCTTTTTTTTTCACCTATGAAATATAAAAAAAACTTTCTTTTTTTATATTATTTATTTTTAGAAGCATCGAAATTACCTGAAAGTAAATATCTTCATGTTGGAAATAAGAATTTCTATTTTGATATTGGTTCAAATAATCGTGGAGTTTTCTTACGTATATCCGAAGTAAATAAACAAAGAAAAAAAAATTCCTTTTTTATCTTACCTGTTACTATTTTATTTAAATAATTTAGGTTCGTGCAAATTATCGAGCAGCTATAACAATACCAGAGAAATCATGGTCTCGTTTTCGCGATAATATTAATGATTTTATTCTTACAATGGATAAAGAACGTAATAATGCATCATCAACTGAAGATAAATCTCGGTTAACTTCTGGTAATGAAGATAAATCATCAGTTCCGCAAAGTAGTTTTGGTGAAAATAAAAAATAAGAGTACATTTATTAATAAACACTTATAGAATTATTTTAAACGAAAAAAAAAATACAACATATTCTAATAATTGGTAGCTTTAGCTTCTTCTTCAACTTCTTCTTCCTCTTCTCTTTTGTCAAACACATAGACAAATTGATCCTTTTTTTTGACTCTTAAAAAGAGCCCGGTGTGCGCTTGTATGTGTATAGTAAAGAACACGTTGCATTGTAAATGTTGTTATGGGGCACTTTTTTTCTGTGTGTAAAAACAAACGTTTATTTATCCAAATAATTTCTTTTTTTTTAGTATAACAAAATACTAGTTTCTTTTTTTTTCTCGCTTCTTTATTCGGAATGGAAAAAAACAAAAAAAAATATATAGAAAGATTAATTAAAGTCTTTCGTTAAGTATTATTTACAGTAACCCATTTTCTTGTCGCGCGTCGTATATATTTTTATTTGTATGTGTGATTGTATGTGTGTGCGTGTGTGTCTATAATGAATTCTTAAATTTAGTTTTATTATTTATTGACGAAACAAAATTTTTTGCTGCTTATGTATGTAGAATAGATTTTGCCGTTCGGGAAGAAAAGTTATCTGCTTTGTTTGTGTCTGTTCTTTCTATTCCAAAATCCGTTATTATTAAGATTATTAATATTATTTTTTGTCTGAGTGCGTATATATCATCCGGTTTTTTTTGTTCTTTATCTAGTTCTAGCGGTTTTTTTTTGTATCATAAAAACTATTGATACATAAAGAGAAAAAAGAAACATTGAACGATTCTAATAAATGTAATAACAATCAAATATTTCATATTTATTTTATCTTTCAGATCGTGAATATAAATTATTTTTCATGTGTTTTTCCTTATCTTTTTTCGGCTACTGAATGCCTCTTTTCGGTCGACGATTATTTCATCTTAATGAAGATGATTTAAAAGATAATAATGAACAAGAACAAACTTATACAATTGAACATACTGGAGAAAAATTTCATTGTAAGAAACTATATGAAAAATTAAAAAAAGCATATGAATTAGAACGATGGACATGTGAATGTACATGGAGAGCTGGTTTAACACATAAAGAAGCTTATGAATCAGAAGTTGAAACAAGAAAGTCCTTATCAACTATTGTTCCAAATTACTTTCATAAATGTATTTTTGATATTATATATCATAGTAAGCATTTTTTCATTTTTTTTACAGAATAAAATAAAAAAATCATTTGAATTTTGTAATAGGTGTTAAACCATTGGAAAAATTGGCTGAGGAAGTGTCAATTTTACTTGGGTAAAGTTTATTTAATTTTGAGACAAGATTTTAGAATTAAAAATATTTTCTTTTCTTTTAGACAAGGTTTTGTTATTGGTGAACCAGTTCAATTTAAAAAACGAAAAGATACTACAGTGTAAGTGTTCAATATTTTTCATCTTGTTATAATAAATATATTCTTCTATTGTTTTTTTTAACAACAATAGTGTGAAAGGTACTATCGAACGAATCGAAGAAAATGATGATCAACGTAAACGAACATCCGAACGTACATCTGTTCAAACACGACCATTATCAGATAAAGTAAATATAATTTTTTATTTAAAAAAAAAAATTTTTAATTAATATTATTTTATATTATATGACAATTAGCAAATGAAAAATGTCAAATATGCAATTCGATTATCCGACGAAGATCGTGTAATGAGTAATGTTCAGCCGAATGAATTACAGTAAATAAACATATACACGAATGAAAACAAAAACCTTTTATTGATTTTGTTTTTGTTTTTTAGACGAAGTAATTTCATACCTAATCGTGAAAAATTAAAAACATTTATTCGTTCGTATGCATTTCGTCTTGGCAATCGAGCAGATAGTCCATGGATATTTTATGATGAATCAATTAAAGAAAAATATCAAATAAAAGATCGTTTACCATCAACAGTTATTGAACAATCGAAAAAATTAATGACTATTACATTGGATGTAAATAAGCAAAACATAAAAAATTTTTTAATCATTAAGATAGATAATATATTGACTGTTTATATTGCAGGAGATTCTTCATGAACAAGAACGTATTCTACGCAAACAAACTGAAGAACAAAATGCTCAATTAGGTGAAAATAAAAAATCAAATGAAAACCATAACAAGCGTAAGTCATTCTAAACATTATTTTGTTTTATAAATCGTTCGGTCAATTTCAATTTCAAGGAAACAAAAAATAATCTTAATATTTTTATATCATTCAAATTTGAAAATAGATAAATTTCAATCGAAAATTATTTTCTTGGTAGTTATGAAAACGGCATTTTGTCGTTTTAATCAGTATTTATTGTGTAAAGCTAACGATTATCACATTTAAACACTGTTTCGAAGGAGAAAATAGCAAGGTATTGACCTTCATAAACGGCATCGAAACGTTACCGTATGTCACATACATATAATAACGTTTCGATGGCATTTATGAAGGTCAATATCTTATCATATTCTCCTTCAACAAGGTGTTTATATATGATTAACGACAATTTTAGACGATACACAACGATTTAAACAATAAAATATCGTTTCCTGAGATTATACTGTTCATATTTATTCTTATTTTTCAAAGATAAACTTTCAGTAAAAAGGTTCTCATCCTTAAATCTTACAAGATTTATACAAATTATAGTTTTATATTAAATGAAAAATCTCTTGTGTCAAGCATGACTTTTTTTTTCTTTATAGCCTCCTCTTCTAATGGTCATCTTGATGACATTCAAATAATCTCATCTGATGATGAAAATAAAACAAAAAGTCCTAAAAAAAAAGTTAAATCACCTCCAACAACACCTAAAAAATCAACTCCAACGATACCTAAAAAATCTACATCAACAACACCTAAAAAATCTACTCCAACAACATCTAAAAAATCATCTCAAATAAATAATATATCACCTGTAAAAAAACCTCGTACACCAAGTAAACAAAAAAGTCCAATAAAAACTAAAAAACAATTAACATTACATGATATGAAATTTACAAAAAATTCCAACAATAACAATAAGACAAATAATCAATTATTAAAAAAATCTTCATCAACATCTGTAACAACATATAATATAGCTGTACCGTATTCATTATTACAAAAATTAGATAAAACACGTCGTGATCGTGGTTTACAATCGAAAGTATTTCAACGTCTTGTATTACATTGTGCACGTACATTAAATGATAAACAACGTTTACGTTTACCTGATGAATATCGTTCATTAATACAAACAAAATTTGAAGAATTAGAATTAAAACGACGTTTATCAGAAATGACTGAACAAGAAAAAAAAATTTTTCTTCAAACTAAACAAAAACAAAAACAATTCGAACATAAATCATGTGAAGATTTAGATTTAATATCATCAAAAATTTTACCATTACCGAAACAAATTGAATCATTAATATATATACCATCACATTATATTGGTGATTTACTTGTTGTATGTACTTTTTTTACATCATGTCATACATTATTTTTATCATCATTAACTGATAATTTATCTAAAACAACACAACAATTTTTACGTTCATTTCGACATAATTATTTATTAGATGCTTATAAAACATCATCAACAACAATTTTTTTAAATTATTTTATTGAATTTTTACAAATATTATTAAAATTATTATTTAAAGAAGATGATAATCGTTTAAATAATGATGATATTAATAATAATGATGATGATGATAAACAACAACAACAACAACAATTAAATCATGATCAACAAGTTATGGAAATAAATCATTCCGAACAACTTATTATTGATGATGATATTGAACAAGTTTATGATACGAAATTAACTGATATACCCTTAACACCATTTACATGTCAAGAATTAACACGTTTATATTTATTAAAAGATAAAAATGAAAATTATCGAACTATTTTAGACAAATTAGCTAATTTAGAAACAAAAGATTTTTCAATTTCAGACCAAGTAAGTCAATCATATTCATTCAATTTTTTATGTTAAGAATAATATCTAATTGATTATTCATATTTTCTAAAATTCATCTATATAAATAATAAATGTAAGCTTTCCGAATTCTTCTCTAGCAGTCAAGGACACCAGACTTCTTAGAAACGGAAAATCATGCTGTAAACGGCATTAAAAACAAGAAATGTGAGTTGCGCATGTTAGCCCTAAACGAGTTGCATTGATAAATTTTAGTTCATGAGGATGAAGATGTGCATGTTACTTATATTATCGTCGTATTAGAGTAAATCTATGAGTGTCCCATCGCCTTTGATGTGTTAGTTAAATGAGTATTAGTCAGAAATTAACTTGGACGGAAAAAAACTGTCAAATTTTGCCTGAAATATTGGAGATTAGGAGCATTTTCTGGGAAAATCCTATGACAGTTCTATTAATTATTTCAAACTTTTGAGCTTATATTTTACCGATGAATAAAGAATATTCAAACTACTCCTAAGGATTCTTTTTTTTAGTTAGGATTTAACCGAGATATGAATGTCTCGAAGCTCATAGGGGCTTCCATATGTATATCATTGTGATTTGAATTATTCATATCTCAGTCGAATCTCAATAAAAACAAGAATCCTTGGAAGTAGCTTAGATATTCTCTATTTATGGGCACAATGTACTGTGAAAATCTTGAAATAATTGATGGGACCATCATCAGATCTTCCAAAGAAGGGCTCCAAATCTTGGACATTTCATACAAAAGTTAGTAAAGCTGTTTTCTCATTCATTATATAATAAAATTAATTAATTAAATTTTAATTTAGATCGATCTTCTCTTATTATTAGTTAATTTAATAACAACTAATAATGAAATAATGTCTGATTATTTTGAATATTTAACTCGTACAATGTCTGAAACATATCGTGAACGTAATCAATTATTATCTGAACGTCGTAAAGCACAAGAAGAAGAAAGTAAACAAAAAAAATTACAATTACAAAATGGTGAAAATGGAAAATTTTCATCGAAAAAACAAAATAAAAATAGTTTATTAATGACACCAAAAAATAGTCTTAACACAACAAATGATGAAAATCATCAATTATCATCACCAACAGCAACAACAGTTCAGGATGATAATATTGATAGTGATGATGATCTTAAAAGTGTTTTACAAAGACGACGACAAATGGTCGCTATGTCAAAAGAATTAAAAGAAAAACGTGAACTTGAAGCACAAAAACTTCATAATGAACAAAAACGAGAATTAGCTATACAACGGGCTGAACAAGTTTATCAAGTATATTAAATTTAAAAACAAAAATTTTTTTAATTGATTAATTTTTATTTTGTTTAATTCTAGGATGCACTTCTTAATCTCCAATTTGGTTTTCGAATTAAACCGTTAGGTTTTGATCGTAATTATAATCGTTATTGGTTTTTTAAAGGTCATGCTGGTTTATTTATTGAAAAGGGTAGGTTTATTAAATTAGTATTCAATGATTTTTAATGAGACATAACAATTCAAATAGAATTATATTTACAAAGTCTAGGAGTTGAGAAACTTGCTTTTTTTTTAGAGATTCTATCATCGAGAAATTGTCAATAATTTTCATCTTGAGAAAATTTAATAATTAAGACGTTATATTTGAAAATTGATTGTTTATAATGATGTAATGAGTGTTTCAATCACTAATTCATCCTGTACATATTCTAATCGAATATGAACTCGAGAAATTTTCTTCTTACCTCTCATTATCAAGGTACATATGGAGTCAGTCGTTTTTTTTGTTCCAATCTCAGCGAAATTGAGGTCGAGATCATCTTGTCCATATTTAACATAAACCTTCCTATCAAAATTGAATACCGTAGTCTTTACCAATGGCTCATTACAAACCGTATTTCAATAAAGTTTCATAATATATGAAGTACTTCCTTATTGCACATCTGAGAAGACAAATATTCAATAATAGATCGAATAAAACAATTTCTCTGTGATTAACAATAGCAACTACATCGTCTTTCATAATTTTAATTCCCATAAGAATTCTGCTAAGAGTTTTTAAATATAATTTAATAATTAAATTATTTTCTTGATAGGTTGGATTGGTTCTGAAATAAGTTATTCTACTCAAATATCTTCATCTCAAGATATATCTTCTTCTCGTTCTTCATCGATTAGTATCAATGAAAAATTAATTCCAAAACATGAAACAAATCAATGGTGGACATATGATAATGAAACAGTTATTGAACAATTACTACAATCATTAAATGAACGTGGTATTCGTGAACATAATTTATTATTAAATATTAAAAAAATCATGCCACTTTTACAAACAGAATTTGAACAAATAAAAAAAGATAAAAATTCAAACGAAAATCAATCTGAAGAATCTATTTCAAATACTGAAACATCCAATGATCAACAACAACAGCAACAACAACAACAACAACAATCATCAAATGATATAATATCATCATTTAAAAATGATCTTGAAGATATTGAAACACGTTTACGTCTTGGTTCATTAGGTGGTTTTATTGTTAATGATAATCTTGTTGAATGGCAAACTAAATTAAAACAATCTATTGAACGTAATGATTTAGGTGAATTACTTATACAATTACAACAAACAGTACCTGATAAATTTGCATCTAGTATATTTGGTATATATGACAATCAATTAAAAAATTTAAAAACATCAACAAAAAAAAAATTTTCAACTATAAAATCAACAATAAATAATCAACATAATTTACAAATATGGATGAATGATTGTCGAACATGTAAAACATATTCACGTTTATATATATTAATGATTATATTTGAAAATTCCATAGCATGGAATAAATCAACAATTGGTATTAAATGTAAAATATGTCGTAAAAAACATAAAGATGAATATATTATTGTTTGTGATCAATGTTGTCAAGGTTATCATTTAGAATGTTTACGTAGTTATACAATAAATACAATTAAAAATTCAACAAATGATTTATGGTATTGTCCAGCATGTCGTCCACAATCAATATCAAAACGACGTTATAATACTAAACAAGAACAAATTAAAACAAAATCAGATTATTATGATACAGATATATATGATATGGATGCTGATACAACATCAAATATAAGTAGTCATGATAATAATCATGATGTATCAGATTTAAATAGTGAACCAAGTAATAATAATAATAATATTGATGAAACAAATGAAGAAAATATCTGTTGTGTTTGTGCTGTTGAAACAAGTGATGATAATGAATTAATACAATGTATACAATGTCGAAGTTTATTTCATTGTCAATGTCATGAACCACCATTAAGATGTCCACCTAGATCAACAACATGGATGTGTAACAGTTGTAGAAATGGTATTAATAATGAAACAACTTATTCCAATAGACGTATACAAACACGTAGGCAAATTAATGTTAGAAAACAAGAACAACGTTCTAGAACACAACCACAAAGACATAATGGAACACGTAGAAGTAAGATATTAATCTTCAATATTTTATTATTTATGAATACATACAAAAGAAAAAGACAAACTGAAAATTAGTCGAACTGTTAATTGTATAATGTAGTTTTATCTAGTTCGAAATGAATACTGATAGATTGATAAGATATTAACCTTATCGGAAATCTAAATAAGCCATTGAGTTTGTTCGAGGCGGATATAGACTAATACGTTTCTTAAAATAGATAGACTTTTTGCTTGACTTTTGTTTCTTCGAAATTTTCAATAAAAATTGCGTTTTCTTTTTCTATAAGAATTAATAATTCATATTATTTTTAAATTTATATTTATAATAAGATTTGATATATTCTTTTCAATTAATTCATCACAATTTCTATAAAATACAGATTTTTTTTTTTCTCTCAATATTAATCTTTTCCTATTTGTATGCTCACAATAGTTGTATATTATACAAAAAATTAATAGTTTTGCTATACATGCCATCTGTTGCCTTCACAGAAAGACAGTCTTCTTTTTTCATTTAATTGTCATCATGACATTAATATATAGGGAAAAGAAGTACATTGACCTCTCAGATAGACAAGTTAAGCTCACGAAAGGTCGATCTGTTTGCACCTCTGAAACACACTGTTAGATAAAAATGATTCTGCAAATAGTTTAACTAAGTCTATAATTACAAAAATTGAATGGGTACTTCAAAATCATAGACATCATTAATTTCAATTTCCGTAATTTAAGACTATTCAACTGCTTAATGAATCTATTATTAAATATTAAAAATAACATGGGTGACGTCTAAGCTTTTGCAAAAATGTCAAATATTGTTAGATCATATTATCAACTTCTAAACCAATCAAAATTTTTTCTAGAACAAACCTCAGAAGAAACTAAAAATCAAATATTTCTAGAATAATTCTTACAAATTTCCTATTGAACAACATCATTTCCGAAATTCTAGGAATTTATTTTATAATCAAAACCGAATGTGGAAAAAAAAAGAGTATTTAATAATGACTTTTGTAACTGAAAAGCTAATATTTTCAATAATGTAGTAAAAATTAAATTTATTCTTGTTTTCCTTCAATCAAATTGAATAATTTACTCGTTCCTGCTATCTATTCGTTTTGCAATGGTAAAGAAAATTTTCTTTTTTAAATTATTTTTTTTTCCTACTAAGTATCCAGAATCTGTTACATTTCGAACAAACAATATAAAAATAATTGAGCTTCTGCTTGATTACGGTTGATATTCTTGTAAAACACTATTTAAAAAAAAATTCAGTTTTTGCAAATTTTTTAATTAAAAATTGAAGAGTAAATAATTTTACTAAAGTTAATATTAATAGAGCTTTTGATGAACTACATTTTCCTGTCACTTCTTAATTAATACTTCATCGATGTATATCAAAATAATTGAGAAATATAAATTTTTTAATTATCAAGAATATTTTTTTTCTAAATAGCTGTACGTAAAAATTATCGTGAAATTGATGAAGATGAAGATGAATATGAAGAAGAACAAGAAGAACAAGAACAAGAAATTGAAAACGATAATGAAAGTGATTATGAAGAAGAAACACGAAATCAACGACGTTCAAAACGTGTACGTCGATTAAGTCCATCATCAACAAATGATAAATCAGATGATGATTATGATATTCGACGTCCAGCACGTCGACGAGTACGTATAGCAAAATCATCATCATCATCATCATCATCATCATCGGTATTATCAGATGAANAAAAATCAAATCAAGCAAAATAAATTATTTTTCAGAAAAGAAGTATTGTAAGAAAACGACAAAAAGTCATCCAAGCAAATAATTACAATAAAAATAATTCAGCATTGTTGAACACATTCATTTTAATACTTATATAGAAGTACAGTCTATTTAAAAAAAAAATAGTATTTTAATGGATGCTACTAAAACTATAATAATTTCTTGTAAGTTTTTGTTTATTTTTCTTGAAAAAATCTTAACTAATATTTCATTTCTGAACGAATAATATAATTTTTGAAAAATTAAAATCTAATAATTTTGCTAAGAAAAAATTCCTTTTTTCCCCTCACGATAAAGTAAAATTATTTGATTGTACTCCGGTAATAAGAAATAGAAACCTCACAAAAAAATTTGAATAAAAAAAAAAGGGTTTCTTCTTTCGAGAAAATGAATGATTCTTCTTGAAAGTTGAGAGTAACTTCATTATATTAAGTTTATTATTATATATACATTTTCAAAGATAAAAAAGAGTGATAAAGTAGCATCATACAAAAAAACAAATTTCTCATGAGAAAATGATAGGACAATCGATAAACTTTAGAAGATAAAAAAATCCTTTTTCACTATCATCATCATTATAAGTTATCAATTAAATCGAAAAACATGACATAAAATAAATTTATTGTCAAGTATACTTTTACTTTAATAGCCGTATCTCATGTCAAAAGTGTATGATTGAACATTAAAGCTTATTATGCTCAAAGTTCACCGATATATTTTCTCATTATATTATATATAATTCAGATGACTTCAACCATTAGAATGTCTGAATTTACCGAAAGGAAAAGTCATTGTTTCCGAGACGTTTAAAGCGGCAGTTTATAAAAGTATAGAACTTATTATTTCCAGTGAATTTACTTAGAACTTTGTTTTAGAGATTGCGCATGCATGCGTTTATTAATGATGAATTACATTTTTTTCTATTACTGATTGAAGAAGATTAAAGTGTGACAGCCGCCATTAACACTTATTTCTAATTTATATAGAAAAATTTGTAGATTCTTGTTTGAAAATCTTAAGTTTTCTTAATACTTTTTTTGTTGTGTCTTGTCTTTGTTTGTTTGTTTTTTTATTCTATTAAAATAGACTTTCAGTGATGAACAAAGAGAATTATTCTTTTGATTTTTATACGAGAAACTGATCATTAATTTATAAATATATGTTTATATAAAGAATAAAAGTATCGAAGCGAGAAAAAGAAAATCATGTCAATCTTTCTTTTTCATATTTTTTTAATCGATTCTTTCCGTTGTAACATTATTTCTGATGTATATTAATTGAATACCGGCATGATCATAACAGATTTTAATCAACACCTTCTATTACGTATTTTTTTATGCTTTTATATTCATGATTTTAGTTTAAATTTTCTTTTGAAATTATAAGATCATGTATTTACAGCTATTTCACGATTATCAATTTACTTAGTATGTCACTAAACTAAATGTAAAGAAGAAAACTAAACTAAGAAAGAATAAGAGAAAAAAAAATTGTGGATCGATTTTTCTCGCTTCTATATATATATATCTATGTGAACGTAATAGAGACACATAAAACATCAGACTCGCATTTTTTTTTCTTGTCTTTGTTGCATCCAGACGTGAGCAAAAATAAATTCCAGAGACAATGCGATAATATAATAAGAAACACATCTACTTAGTTTCTTTATCTTATCTAGATTAAACAAAATTTTAGATTATATTTTATTTACAACAGTCTAAATCCAATGTTGGCATTATTCACATCGCATAAGATCTCGCTAGCCATGCTTCAGCTCAGCATCCTTTTATTTGGTCTTCTCAGTAAGTAATCATACAATAATGTTCAAATAACTTTTTTTCTTTTCATTTTTATTTCCAATAATTTCATTATCATTATTCATTACAGAATGATTTACAAAAATTTTTAGATACTTTGAATAACACAGAGAATAAAAATTTGTCAAGAAAGTGTAACATTTATATTAGACTTAGACATGCAAGAAAAACAATAACCATCCCCATCGAAAAAATAATTAATGCTTTTTTTATTAAAAAAATTCATAGTATTCTTTTATCACAATGTTCATAGAAAAAATCGCATATATCTGAGATGTGCACCGCAGCAAACACCTACGTAGGTGTTCATCGTTGCTTGAGGTCTGTCATATAGATATATATCTAATATATGCACTTATAAAATTTAATGAAATCTATTGTTTAATAATACTAGATGGAACTACTACTATATCTCGTGTGATGGATAAACAATTTTAGTTCGTTAACTTCTTTTTATTTGATGATATCATGTTATTTATAAAATTGAATATAATTAACAAGGGAGTTTTTACCCTAGAATGAATAGCTCGGTTGTTTACAGTATTATCTTACATTTACTTACAAAGAAAATCCGGAGGCTTTTTTCATAATAATATCATATCAAGGAATTAATCTTTGCTTCTTATTTATCTGACAGACAAGATTTTCTTCAAATTCATAAATGACATTGAAAAAAATATTCAATTAAGATTAACGAGAAAGACAACGTTGCTACAAACAAGAAAAGTAATTTTTAATGTTACAATCTAATTTTTTTTTCATTGAATATCATTGAGAAAAGTATTTTGTTTTTAGTACGTTCAAATAGACAGATTGCGTCAGCACATTAGAGTTCACTATATCCTCAAGGTACATTAAATAGAAAACAGATGCCATAACGATAGTTATAGAGCGTTATTAATTGAACTCTTGTCTTTCTTATTAATGACAGGCAGGTGTCAGATTTAAATTAGTTATTATAAATGACAAAATATTATATGCCAGCAAAGTTTTTCTTAACTTATAAAATAATAATGAATGGAATTGTTGTATTTTATTTTATTCATTTACAACAAAGCTATACATTATGAAAATACGCATTTCCGATCTCATTTATATACTGCAAACATTAATTATTATATCGTTCTGCGTCGTTTATATCTTAAGGCATGTTTATCTACCTTATTAATTATATCAAATTATATTCTAAGTAATTGTCTCTTAGGAAATATAATATCTTTTTGAATAGTACTCTTATTTTCAAATATTATATCCAATTTTATTCTATTTTAGTCATTGGTAATTGGGCGGCACCAGCCTATGATGAGTTACAAGAAATATACGTTGACACATGTCAATTAAGCTGTGGTCTAGTTAATAATAATAATGAAGCAGACGAATGTCGTCAAAAATTTTGTCCTAATTACGTTAATTATTTATTAACAGGTTTTACTATACCAGATTCAACACCTAGTCTTGCATCAAATGATCAAAAAGAAGTAGCAAAATTTTGTGCTACATGGATGATTCATTTACTTCAAGAACTTGGCTGGAACCGACGTATTCGTCTCAATCTCAAAGACTGTAATTGTGCTGCTGGCACCGATTGTCTTGTTAAATAGAAAGATAAAAGAACAAAACAAAAAATGAAGACCAATTATTGAATCATATACAATAATACATACATTAAAAAAATCTATACTTGAATTTCAACTTTTTGATTCATTTTAATTATTTTGTCCATTATAAGTTAATACATGCAAAAAAAAATAAAGAAAGAAAATTACTATAAACATATCACGACATCTTTTTCAAATTTAAATTATATAAATTTTTCTTTTCTTGCATACTTCTCAGTCGTTTATATTCCAATATATTTACCAATTAACAATCGATCCGTTGTTATGGTGATTCATCATTTGTGTCGTTTCTCTCTCTCTCTTTATTACTCTCGCATTGTTTAAGAACTAGTTCTATATATAATAGTTCAATAAAGATGAAAATTGAAGAAGTTAAGAGTACAACAAAAAGTCAACGTATATCAGCTCATACTCATATTAAAGGATTAGGTTTAGATGGAGAACAACGAGCTATACGTAATGCTAGTGGTCTTGTTGGCCAAGAACAAGCACGCGAAGTCTGTAGTCTTTTTCTTTTGTTTTGCAAGTTTTTTTTTTTTCAATGTTATTTTTATAGGCAGCTGGTATTGTTGTTGAATTAATTCGTCGGAAAAAAATGGCTGGCAGAGCTGTTCTATTAGCTGGACCACCAGGAACTGGCAAAAGTATGTTTGTTAAAACACGATTTTCAATTTATATATTTACGTAGTTCTTTTTTTGTTACATTGGAAATTAAAATATTTGGAAAGAAAAAAAAAAAAAAAAACTGATTAATATATTACAGATATGACATAAGCGATTTATCATATTTCTTATTTGAATATTGTAGAATGTGCATTAACACTATTTCTATTCTCTTGAGTAAAATAGAAAACATCGTAGAATATGGAAAAATTGAAGTTATTTGTTAAAATTTGCTGAGAGATTATCTACATGCATCGAATGGAAGCGATCATTATTTTTGTGTCTATTATTATTAGACCCACGAACGGTCATTCTAAAGCATTTTAGTGTTAGTTTTTGTTTATATTTCGATTCTATTAAAGAAGAAATCGCATGAGACCATAATTCAAGACTAGATCAAATTTGAATAGAATTTTATAGAAATAAATAGCTTAATTCAAAAGTAATATTGAAATTGGTTGATGAACTTTTTCGTATTATCATTCAGTGAGATATTTTCTCGTGTTTTGAAACGACACCAGAGAAAAGAGAAATATTTATATTATACAATTACGGCTTTTATAGTCTCGTAAGAATATAGTTAATTGTATCATTTTATTAGAAATATCTCGATAGAAAACACAACAGAAATGCTGAAGAAAAACGAAAATTTTTCGATATTGGGAGAATATATTTACATCTTATCAAATTTTTTTGGCAAATTCATAGACAAAATATCGAAGTTATAATACCGGTGTATTCTTGTACTGATTTATGTGTTGGAAAACATAAATTTTATACAATTCGAATACGCAAAAAAAAATCAATGAGCACAAGTTATATGCTCAGTATTATATTATAATTGATTAGTAAATCAGTCAAATTATCAGTATAAAATTTAATGTTCAGTAACTATTACGTTTACTCAATAAATTAATAACTTGTCGTTAGGGTTGTGGCTATGGGTGCTGGTTTGCAGATGAGTATCGCGTGTGAATGTGAACGTAGATATGCGTATTGATTTGAGTGTGGAGTGTCAGTGTTACTGTCAGCGAAGCCGATACCGACACATACATTCATAACCGCGCTACATTATTAAATACTGAGTAATTAAATACAAGTCAACAGCTTTTCTGTAAATTAATAACAAAAAAAAAATAATTGTTTCTGAACATGTTTTTCAACGAAATATAATAGTTAACATTTTGTATTATCACATAAGCAGAAAAGAAATGAACTCACTTTTTTGTAGTTATTTTTCTTTCGTCTCATATCATTTTATTCATAAAATAATTAGTTAAACGTGTTCTGAAAGATGAGCATATTTTACTTGCAGAGTATTTGTATTAAAATAATAGAAGGATGGAGAATTTGTATTTTTATATTTATATGAGATGTTTAATGAAATTTTGTATAGAATACTAAATGTCTTAGGAAAGAGAATTATTCGAATTCGAGAAACTTTTCTAGTCTCCTATGTAAATAATTGAAATATAAATATATATATATTTGTACGTATTCAATTAATTGTAATCATCAATTTTTTAATTAGCTGCTCTTGCATTGGCTATTGCTCATGAACTTGGTTCTCGTGTACCATTTTGTCCTATGGTTGGTAGTGAAGTATATTCAACTGAAATTAAAAAAACAGAAGTCTTAATGGAAAATTTTCGTCGTGCTATTGGATTACGAATAAAAGAAGTCAAAGAAGTCTATGAAGGTGAACTTACAGAAATGACACCAACAGAAACTGAAAATAGTTATGGTGGTAAGATACTTAATATAGTTTTATTTTTCTTTGTTAAAATTATTTCAAATTCTATAGGCTATGGCAAAACTGTTAGTCATGTTGTTATTGGTTTACGTACAGTGAAAGGTGCTAAACAACTTAAACTTGATCCATCAATTTATGAAACATTACAAAAAGAAAAAGTTGAAATAGGTGATGTAATTTATATTGAAGCTAATTCAGGAGCTGTTAAAGTATGTTTAAAAATAAAGTAATCTGTTCGAAATAAGAAATCTTTCTTTTTCTTGTTTTCCTAGAGACAAGGTCGATGTGATGCATATGCAACAGAATATGATCTTGAAACAGAAGAATATGTACCATTACCAAAAGGTGATGTACATAAAAAGAAAGAAGTTGTACAAGATGTAACATTACATGATTTGGATGTTGCTAATGCACGACCACAAGGTGGACAAGATATTTTATCAATAATGGGTTCATTAATAAAACCAAAAAAAACTGAAATAACTGGTAAAAATTCTTTATATTATTTTGTTTTTCTTTCTTTTCTAAATTCTTTCAATAAAATTTTAAGATAAACTTCGTCGAGAAATAAATAAAGTTGTTAATAAATATATTGATCAAGGTATAGCTGAACTTGTACCTGGTGTTTTATTTATTGATGAAGTTCATATGTTGGATATTGAATGTTTTACTTATTTACATCGAGCATTAGAAAGTCCACTTTCACCTATTGTTATATTTGCAACAAATCGTGGACGTTGTCAAATACGGTATATAAAATGATTCTTGTTTTTAATCATTACAATAAAATATTGAATTTTATTAGTGGTACAGAAATTCTTTCACCACATGGTATGCCACTTGATTTACTTGATCGTATTATGATTATTCGTACACTTCCTTATGGCATGGAAGATATGATTGAAGTAATTGTTTTATGTTTTTGAAGGTTTTAAATAAATATTTTTTTTTTATTTAGATTCTTCGAATACGTGCAAAAGTTGAAAATATAGATGTAAATGATGAATCTTTACAAACACTTGCTGAAATTGGAAATATATCAACATTAAGGTATGAAAAAATTTGTTTGGTTTTTTGCTAAAGCCTTCTTTTTTGAAGATATGCTGTACAATTAATGACACCAGCTAATATTCTTGCTCGTATAAATGGTAAAGATCAAATAGAAAAAGAAGAAATTGATGAAGTACGAGATTTATTTCTTGATGCAAAATCATCAGCACAATTACTCAAACAAGAAGATGCTAAATATATGAAATAGAACTATATAAGTTTTTTTGTTTATTTTTAATTTGTTATGTTATACACAAACTAGGCAATTATCTTATTTTTTCCACAAAAATAAAAAATAAACAACTATTGATAATCATAATAAGGAACCATTGATAAATAACGTCTGAATGAAAATCACATTTGTCGATCCTTCTGAACCAATTTCATCGATTCCTTCTTAAACTTTCAGTATAAAAAATAACTTTCAAGAATGAACCTGTTTATTCAAATATACGACTTCCTTTCTATTAAATAAATATATTAAAAATTGAAATGAATAAATATACATATCATAAACAACATATAAAAATATAATCTATTGCAAAGTTTTTATTTTTTTAAATACATTCGATTCGAAAGAGACGAAAATAGTAAACAAAAAATGAAGTTCATTTGATCAGTAATAGAAAAGTCTAGAATGATTTGGTTTTTCGGGTCTTCGTTCTTGAGATATCGAACTTTTACTGTTTTTTTTTGGACAAAAAAAGAAGGTGTGGTTCCTCTCCGATCACTTTTAGGTTTTGATTTCGAACTTTGCTTGAATAAAGTTCTTAATGAATTTAGTTGATTATACAGTTTTTAGCTTGTCTAGTATTTTCTTTCTGAAGATGTAAATAAATAAACAAAATTAGCTTTAATACATGAGTGGATTTCGAATATTGAATATCTCAAGATGGGCGATGATACTAGAAAGTTACAATTTGCTCAATGAAGCAATCTCGTTGAGAACTTTGCTCGTGCAAAGTTTGAAGTCGAAAGTCGATTTTCCACATACTCTGATAGGAACTACAGTTTTTTTGTTGAGCAACACAGTATACTATCAATATGTCAAGAAAGAAGATCCGGAAAATTAAGCAATTTCAGACGTTCGTATTACTCATCAAATGAATATCGTCTTGATCAAAAAGCGATTTGACACTTGGCAAGGTTTGTTCGTAGATTTCAACATTTAGCGGAAAGTTGTGTGAGAAAAAAGGCAAATATTCATTCTAAGTATCTGAAAGTTCAGAAATGTTGGATAATTGTCTCCTTTTACCTGGATACCCTTTATGGATGACTTCTAAAATAATTAACTGGCACTTGATGGAAAAAAATTCATCTATTAAAGAGTAATTAGAATTTGTGATAGATCAGTAAAAATTTGAATTTGTTCAAATCCGAAATGTTGTCTGAAGTTTTTTTTCATACATCAATAATACTTTTTTTTTCTTCGTTGATTTGATCATGAATAATTAATAGGTCAAAAAATATTTGCTTTTAATGATATAAATTTTATTAGGTTTTAGACTTGCTATATAGAGGATTCTAAATGTGTTCTTTTGATTCATCCACACGTGAAGGCAAACCGATTGGCTACCATTGTTTGAAACGATAACGCCATCTATCAATGAGTCAATGTCTGCTCTACAACCTGAAGCCTCGAATTCTGTTGAGACAATACATTTTTCTTGGTTATATTTTATTTCATCATACTTTTCATCGTAGTTTTGTGGTCATGTGATCCTCTTTTAGCTTTGTCTTATATATATTAAAGATTTTTTCTTTGGCTAACAAGAACACATATTCAATTGACGAACACCGTTTGGCTTCGTATTAAGGCTCTGAAAAGATCTTGATGAAACTAAAAAAAGTTAAAAAATGATTCCCACCAATGGCTTACTATTGAACAGTTATGACCGTTTTAATAAAACTTTCATTGAGGACAAGACTTGCTCAAAGATCCAAAATAAAAAGTTTCGAGCTAAAATTATGTCTATAGATACATTTGATAGTCCATACACTGCTCTAAAAATTTGAACAAAAACAAACATGTCTTTCTCGATATATTCAATTTCCGAGTAGACTCATTTACTGTGTTCTCCTATGGTAAACCACTATGTTTTTAGATACTGCATATCTCGAGAAAATTCACGTTCGTTTTTGCTGAAATTTTCAGGACAATCTAATAACTATGAAGTGTACCTATGAACATAATTTCAGCTCGCAACTGTTTGTTTAAGGTTTTTCGAAATTACCTTCCCCTAAGTAAAATCTTCATTAAAACAGCCATAACTCTTCAATACTAGGCCATGAATTTGAATCGTTTAAAGATTTTCTCAGTCTCAACGAGACCTATTCGTAGCCTTGATGCGAAGTTGAACGACTTCCGACAGTTCTATATGTTTTCTCATATGATATTTTCTGCAGATAGTTGCAAACAGGAACTAGCTAATGCCTTGGCAAATGGCTTTTATTTAACTGCAAAGTTTTAAGAGAATTTTGAAAGCGAAGAATTTATTAAAAAATCATGCATGTGAAAATTTCCATCTTTATTTTCTTCTGTTTTGAACTTATTATAGTTCGAAGACGGTAATAGGTGGTTACATAAAAAAACAGTGCTAGAACAGTTAAAAAATGAAAAAAAAACACTCGAATAAGAATGCAACTTTTTAAGTATAATATCTAATTGAAAATAAAAATGCGTCTGTTTGTCTTTTATTTATTGAGCCACTTGTATCGGTATGATGAAAGATAACTGAAGTGATTATCGATTCAACTTACCGATAAGTATTCCTTGATATTCATTAATAGATTCTATTTTAAAATTAATTTTTTGAAAATATGAATCATTGTTGACCATCATTTTTGCAGAATTCATTTCATTACCGTGATTAAATCCAAGCAGTAAGAAGATTTCAAGTTTTTCTAATGTTGGGCAAGTATGTTCCAACCAATTATGCCACAATTGAGGTTTAAGGACCGATTTTGGTCATGCTTCGCACTTGTCAATATGTCAAAATCAGGAAATCGATCAGGATTTTTTATTTTAAAAATCAGGATTCGTCTAAAAAATCAGGATTTTAAGAAAAACCGTCTCAGGAGATCTCAGAAGACTTCTAGATTATCGATGCATTAATTTCTAGATCGTAATTTCAAAGCTAACAGTTTTTTAGTACTAAAAATCCATTTTTCTGTCAATTTTTTAAATAAGAATGCTGATTGTTCTATTCAAAGCTATCACTAGATTCTATCAAATCTAAAACAACGAGGTTCAAAATTGGTTGAAATTTATGAGTTTTATGTCAAAAATCAGATCTATTTCAGTCAGTTTCGTAACTTGTTTTCATTTATTCAAAACAATTAAAATATAGCATCGGATAAACCATGCAACGTTTATGATCACTTGCATGAGTCCTGACAGAAGCTTATAGTTCTAAATATTAGAAACACTATTGCTTTTGGGTATAAATGTAACGATTCTTGAAACTCTAATTCAAAATTAATGGATATATTTGTATCGGGAACCCCAAAGAGTCATGTCAGCCATGTTCAATTGTGAATTAGTTATCCGATACAGTGGTTTGAGTTTTTTGAACAGTTAAAATAAGTTACGGAATTGACTGAAATTGGTTAGGATTTTCTTTTAAAGATCATAACTTTCGGCCGATTCTAAGTCTTGTTCTTTTTTTCAGATTCAATAGAACTCTATGATAGGTTTGAATAGAGCAATCAAAACTTAGCAAAACTATGATTTAGAAAGAATTGACCAGACAATGAATTCTCAGTAGTAAAAAGATGTTATCCTTGAAATTATAGTCCAAGAATTGTGTGTATCTCTATTCTGGATACTTGATAAGGCTTCAATAACTTCACAAGATTCGAACATTTTTGAATCATCAACCGTATAGATCAACAGGCTTCAGAGTTATGAACGCTTCATAATTACTTTGCTGATGTAGTAGAATTAATCAGTTGTCATTTATGCATGTTGGCAATCAGTCTTCATAATTAACGAAAACGATCGATCTTTTCGGAGTGCCTTTTATTGTCTTACTCATCATTGAATCACTCTAAAATAATATTATTAAAAACACTAGAATATAAGGGTAGGTCAGTGTTTTACAAAGATCTTTATATAGAACAATTTAGTGGCAAAACCAAGCCAAATTGAATCTGCCAGCAATTGGTCAAATGCATGAGTTCTTAGGGAACATTTTGTAAAAACAATGTTTTGAAGGTTTTTTCCATTGATTTTTGACTTGCAATATGGTAATTCAACAGAGAAAATCGATCTCTTTTGATCTACGAAAAGTTCACATCTCTACCATGTTCTGTTCGAAATTTATTGAGGATTCTTCGAAATCTTTCTAGATTTCAACGATTTTACTGTGGATCATCTGAGAGCAGGTCTTTATAGGAATAATTAGCCGAGCTTAGCCAAGTGGCAATGTTTTTTCGGTTTTAAAAAGATTCGAAACTACGGCAGGGAGATTTTTGGAAATTTTTAGCTTTTATGATACAGTTGCTGTTTACCCAGTGTAGCAAAAACCTGGCTGTCGTAGTGTTAGATCTCTCTGAAGCCGAAGAAACCATTGCCATTTCACTGAGCTCATAATGATTATCTCTATAAAGATCTGTTTTCAGATGACCTAGGGTAAAATCGCTGAAATCAGGGATCTCTTCGAGACCTCAATAACTTTCTAACAGAACGTGGCAGAGATCTCAGTCTTTAGTAGATCGAAAGAGAACAATTTTCTTCATCGAATAGTCATATTGCAATTGAAAATTCGATGGAAAATCCTTTCAGTCTCAAATTCCAAAATGTTTATCAAGATCTTGCTAGCTTAACCAATTGCTAACCAGTCAAATTTGACGTGATGTTCCCATCAAATTGTTCCTCTTTCAAGTAGCGAAAATGGTTGCGTAAGATTTCGTCACCAGAATTTAGACAATGGGTACAATTTCCTATCCGAAAATCTGACAATCTTTGTATTGCTAAAAAGTACGACGAAAATCGGGCAAATTATCAAAATTCATTTGGTCAAATTTCAGTTGCCAAAATTCTGATTTACTATGAAAAGTTCAGGTCTGTATCTTATGCCTATGGGAAATCCTTTGAAAAACATCAAGTGGGCTTATGTACTGCCGTTTTTGTTATATTATTTCGTGTTTGTCGCTTTCCACACTTTGAATATTTGTAAGAACATTATGGTCGAATACAAATTAAAT